AAGCTCAAAACAGAGTCAATTGAAAATACCTGCTTCAGAATTGATAAATGAGCCGTTTGGACAGAAACATTAGATCAGAACAGGGCTCTTATTACAGGCATGTCTTAGCAGACTAGCAATAAAACTGACCAACTGGAGAACTAGAATGTTCAAGAATTAAAAAATTAAAATGTTCAAGAATTAAAATGTTCAAGAATTTAACATTAAACACAATAAATACAGTTGAATTTGTAAACTACTTTTAAAATAGTTAATGGCTAAAAAACAATTATCATAAACATTTGAAAAAAAAAAGATATCTTGCTAAGCTGATTTAAAGAAAATATGTCAAAAAATGATATGAAAGCCCTGGTTCAGAATGTTGGTGTTTGCAGCATTGAGAAATGATTTCACAATGTTTTATCATTAGTCAAAATGCTGAATTAATTCTTTAAGCCTAGTGCACACAGCCCATTTTCTTTGGTAGATTGTACACGATTTTTAATTACCCCATATCGTGATGGCAATAGATATTATTAACTTTCATCGCTAGAGAAGAAGTGCCAAATATCAAATAGGTTTGCTCTCGTGGAGCAGATTGATTTCTTTGACCAATCACCTTAAGGTGTGATGCTGGCCTTAACTAAATTTTCAGCTATGACCAGCATTGACAATCTCTTACCTGTTGCTTGCAAATTGCTGTTAAGCGAACATACACAGACACATTGTTGTGATTTCGACTGCATCATTGGTTGACTCGGCAAGCAAAATAAATCGCCTGTGTGTGCTAGGCTTTAGTTATTAATATTAATTATAAATTACTTTTCAAGAAGTGCAATATAGTATTATATTAAGACGTGAAACGGTAGAAGTGAATTAGATGAAAAACATATAGATAGTAGATACTAACTTATTATTTCTTTTGTTAAATCACAGAGCCGGCAATCTTAATTATTTTGCAGTTTTGTAATTATTTTAAATGTGTTGAAATCGCAATTGGTATCAATTTTTTGTTTAAAACAAGATACTGGTATCAAGTTTGTTTAAAACAAGATACTGGTATATAATTTTGTTTAAAACAAGATACTGGTATCAAGTTTGTTTAAAACAAGATACTGGTATCAAGTTTGTTTAAAACAAGATACTGGTATCAAGTTTGTTTAAAACAAATTGTGTAATTCTGTTTGAAGCAAGATACTGATATGGGATTTTGTTTCAACCCATTTATATAATATTTTGTTTAAAACAAGATAATTTTGTTTAAACAAATAATTTAATTTTGTATAAAGCAAGATATGTAATTTAGATTGAAGTAATCTAGGCTCTGAGTATTAGTATTAAATTTCAGTATTTTATTCACTTAGTTCATTCTTTTGCATCTGCATACAAGGAACAGCAGCTAGTACAGATTGGACGAAAAAATGTGGGTCCTGTCACTCCGGTGTACCCTTGACAATTGGAAGTTGATAAGATAACCATCCAAAAAATTATCCATGTCCAATTTCAGTAACCTGTTTGGTACATTCAAGTAGGACGGTAAACCCCATTTTATTTCCAATTTCTTTTTACTTTAGATGCCTTGTTTTAGTCTACCTGTCTGGTAATTTTAAAATATTTGATACCTATCATTTTTCAAACTATTGATATCAGAAAACTCTTCCAATGCCTTCCATAGCAACTACCGCAATATATACAATTTTTTATATGATGTTCTGTCTGGTAAAGATGCATTATGTAAGATTAGATAATGAAAAGGGAATATATTGAAATTTTCAGTCAAATTACTTTATTCTATGCGATGTTTGAAGTTTTGATATGAATAGCTTAGTCTCAATTTTCATAGCTACCATTGTTTTGAATTAAATTATTAAATGGCGAGTTGGGACCATGTTTCAATCCGTTAAAAGTCACGACCATTTGATGCTCTAGAGAGTTGATTATGGGCTTGTCATGTGAATAAATGCCTATTTGACAATTGATATAACAGTTGAGGTCAAAAGAAAGGCCAATTTAGCTCTTACATAATGCTTCTTTTATTATATTTTATCTTATTGTAAAGCTTATTTTAAGCTGTTATATATTTATATATTATGTAAATGTAATACTCAACTTTTTTTATGTTCTAAATTTTTCGATAAGATTTGGAGATTAACGTATTATCATTTGATTTCTCCAGAACAAGACACTACTGACCAGTATTTATTAATTCCGTACTCTCCCTGCGTTGAGAAAAATTTGCATTTTGCAGCAAATGTACAGATAAATTGAGAAGAATTTTGACAAATTTTCACGGGTGCAGAAATATGGAATTAGATCAACATAATCATACTACTATTTTACTACTTAATAATATCTGTACCAGTACTTGTCAGAAATTATGAATTAAAATAACTTTTTTTTAAACTTTAAATTTAGGAATTTGCAGATGTATGAGTATCATAGTCAAAGTTTTGACCTTAGTAAAATTATTTTAAAAAATAAACCTTAATTATGAAAACCTAAGTTTACAAAAAGACCCATTACAACTATATAAAGGAAACAGCAGCACAATGTCACTTAAGCCGGAAGAGTTCGCAGCAGAACTTATAAGAGAAATCTGGGACGTCTTCTCATCACTATATAGATTTCAAATTTTACGAAAACATAAACTATAGTAATTTATGGATGCAGACTTTTGAGAGAAATCTGGGATGGCTACTCATTTTGAAGAAGAACATAATTTGGAGACTTTAACATTTAATTAAGAACATAATTAACATTATTTAACACTTAATTAAGAACATAATTTGGAGACTTTCACATCATTTAACACTTAATTAAGAACATAATTAACATTATTTAACATTTAATTAAGAACATAATTTGGAAACGTTAACATTATTTAACGTTTAATGAAGAACATGATTTGGAGACCTTAACATTATTAAACACTTAATTAAGAACATAATTTGGAGACTTTAACATTATTAAACACTTAATTAAGAACATGATTTGGAGACTTTAACATTTACTGGTATTAAGAAAATGATTCAGAGACTTGATCAGCATTATTTGCATTAATTAAATTCAGTCTTGATAATCAAGTATTTTTATTTTCTCTTATTTTATGAACATATATTATTTGGTTAGGTTTATAGACGAATATTTCAAGCAAGTATTGTCTCTTTATTTTTGTTTACTGTTCATTATTAAACATGAATAAATGATTATTTCTTATTACAACCAATCTTGAATTTTTGTTTTATTATCAAGTCAGGGAGACAGACAGGAAAGATAATCTAGATGCTGACTGTATTAATTGTAAGTGTAGGGGGAGGACCGCACCACACACAAACAATTACACAAGACAAACCTTTGGACAAACAACAAACGTACATATCAGATCCAGGACATTTTGGCGCCAATTACATTAAATCTAGGTGCTGACTATATTAAATCTTGGTTCCGATTGTATTAAATCTGGGTGCTGATTGTATTAAATCTGGGTGCTGATTGTATTAAATCTTGGTTCCGATTGTATTAAACCTGGGTCCGATTGTATTAAATCTGGGTGCAATTGTATTAAATCTGGGTGCTGATTGTATTAAATCTACGTAAAAGCAGATCATAGGGAAGGCGGTAGCCTCCGATCCGAAGTTTTTGGGAAGCTTTCCAAAAAGAAAACTGAAGAAAACTTCGACTCTGGGGAGAAAACTTGATATTTAGCCCGATTCATGGCCCCCTGGGTCCTGTGGGGGGGGGGGACTCCTTTTACACCAGTGGAAGAGCCCTCTCTCTACCTGTGTTCAGTCGAATTGCCACACAATCTTCAAAAAAATTCTTCCTAAAAAATACTTAATTCAGCATGTATTATTGAAATAACTTTTCACTCAATCTCTGGAGACCCTCCAGCTGACGAAGGCCATTTATTTTTTCTTTTGTCAAATTGGTGTCCAGGGAGTGGTTGGTTAACAGTTGCAGATCCACTGTCCAGTTACATTCCTTCGTCTATATCGAAATGCCTGTTGCTTCGTAAAACCTTGTCAAAGAAACTCTGGTTTGAATAAACTTACCATTTTTTTATTATCATGTTTCAACTCTGTATACACTTTTGCCAAGGTGAAAATATCAGATGCTTTACTACAATCAATGTGTCGCCCTTATTTTTTTCCCTTATTTCTGCACTAACTGGGATAATGAAGATGGACATACTCCATACAGTGTGCCATGATGGACATTATGCCTGGCTACGGTTTACTATTATTTCGATTTCCAACTGTCAAGAATTCTTTTACCCAGGCCTGGAAATAACGGTTTTAGATGTACCTGACAAATTGTAAGGCACTAATGAAATAGTACCTGACATTTTCAACTTAGTGCAGGACGTTTGTTAATAATATCAATAAAAAAGACAAATCAGTGCCGGACAAAATGACAGGCACCAGAGGTTTTGTGTCTGACAAAACCAGAATTTGTTCCTGACATTGACTGTGACAGGTGCCTTATTTCCAGGCTTGCTTTTACCTGAACACCAACGTGTACAGTTTCTTGTCTCATCCAAAGGACCCGATGTTGTTCCTTGCCAGGCCTCCGTCCTGCATTATTAACAATGAGAAATCATGCCAGGAATTCTCTCGGCCAGCACCGGGATCTCGAAGAAGAATAGTCCGGGCAAATTTCCCGTCACACACTGTATGGCGTATGTCCATCTTCATTAGTCGTCGAGTTGGTGTAGAAATGTTAAACCCAATTTAATTTGTTTTTTGTCAGATTTGGGAAGCCAAAGCATCGTTTCCAGTTCGTATCTAAACAAACAGAAAAGAAAGGGGTCTAAATCTCATCTACGGCTGGGGTCCCTTCGCGGCCGATCTCTTATTCTGCTCCTGAATCTAGGTTCTGGTGGTATTAAATCAAGGTTCGGATTATGCAGAGGTGTGGTGAAGTCGGGGGACCAATTTCGGGATTGTATGCCCTTAGACTCAAGTATAGGGGTCAAAATTCTCGGAAATGTGAAAATGAAAGACATTTTGATTAAGTACATATAAAAACATGAAATAAACGTTTTATTGCAAGCCTGTACATCAAAGTTAACAGTGATGATTTCACATTAAAAAAATTAATTTCACTCTTTGAGAGAGAAGAGAGAGAGAGAGATGGGGGTTTAATGCCCACTTGACACAAACTAGGTAATTTGGGGACCAACATATGGTTCAATTTCATTTCATTAATTCACTTGCCCGTGGGGGTGTTTAGCAGTGGGAGGAAGCCGGGGGACTCGGAGAAAACCCACAAGGTTGGAAAGGTGACCCTACTCCTTGTCACGTACAAGAGGGGAGTCGAAACCATGCCACTTGAATCAATGACTGACCATTCGGGCACCCCCCCCATCCCCCTTCACGCTTTGATTGGATGCCCTGTTGTAGTTGGTGCCCGGGACCACCACCCCCTCCACACAACTGGATTAAATCAAATCTAAGAGTCGATTCCACATCGGAAAAAAAAAAGAAACCAAATTCAATTTTAAATATGAAAATAATTTATAAAATACTGAAACTTATGAAAAGTTCATTCAAATCAATTTAATTTGTCTTAAGTAAATACAAATGAGTGACTCAATTAGACAATAAATACGTCAGATGAACTATAGATATATTCAGTTATATCATACACTTCCAATCCGACTGTCATCATCGTCTTTCTCATTCCCAAATTATTGATCTGAAATAGAAATCCAAGTCATCATTATCATGCATGCATAAGGGAGAGAACTGAGGTTTAACATACACTCGACACAACTAGGTCATTTAGGGACTAACATGATTTAATTTTATTGCAATAATTCGCTTGCGTGTATGGGTCTTTAGCTGTGAGAAGAAACCGAAGGACCCTGAGAAAACCCACAGGGTTGACCAGGCAACCCTTTTCTTTGCCACGTACAAGCTGGGAAATCGAAACAACGCAATTTGACCCAATGACAGACCTTATGGTCCAACGTGGAAGCATGAGACCAGCACTATTGGCTATATCAACATTGCGCGATTGTTCAGAATACAGACAGTTTGACTACAGATATTCGATCACCACAAAAAAATGGAAATGTTTATTTGGTGCTTTAACATGTACCAGTGTACTCCTTGTCTTGTACAAGCTGCAAACTAAATCCATGCCACTTTAATCAATGACAGCGACCTTGTGATTTTACGCACAGGCGTTAAACAATTAATGGCTGTCACTACCACTACCAGAGGGCTGGGGGCGAATAATTTTTGACCAAAAATCAGAGAGGAAACATGGTGACTCAGTGAATAAGGTGCTAGCTATGTAAATACATTTGGGCTTTTTGTTGGTAGGCTGGGATAATGTAGCTGATGACATTTTCTCGGAGGAGTATCCCAGGGCGACCCTTACCAAATACCCTACGTCCACAACTGCCCCCGCCCCCACCCTTCCTTCAAACCAATTGTTCATCACGCCCTCTTTGCTTCAACCGTAACATGAATATTTGACAGTATTATTTTACTGCAAACTTACCACCTTCTCTTGGTCTTCTGGTCATTTATTCATAGCATGTCCAGCCAGGGCCACAGATTGTTTTGGAACGGATATTCAGGGGAAGAATTGCCAATGCATTTGGAACACACTCGGCATCATATGTTATGGAACAGGCCATATCGCCCTGTGCTGTGAACTCGGCAAGCGGTGTAGGTTCTGGTCCATTGTCAGTTGCTGGTCTAGCTAAAATCAAAACAACAAAAAACATATATTTTGTAATTGTTAGCAAAGTCATTGAAGTGGGAGTGGCGGGGAGGGTGGGCGGGGAAAATCAGAGTGGCATATTTCGAATTGTGAACAATTTGTACAGACTATATATGTAAGTGCAGAATAAACCGCGACCACACAGCAACACAGAAGACAACCCCGTGGAGAGAGAGAGATGGGGATTTAACGCCCACTTTAATATTCACTCGACACAAACAAGGTAATTTCCGGACTAAACATATGGTTCAATTTCATTTCAATAATTCGCTTGCGCGTAGGGGTGTTTAGTAGTGGGAGGAAACCGGGGACAAACCTTTGGACAACACACTGATATTGTAAGTAATGAATAATAATCCCAGTGTCCACTATGGTCGGTATCCTGGGGAAAGACCATATAAGGAGAACATAAAGAGAAACTGAATCTAATTAAATTATTTAAATGACATGTAGAATTGGGTCCTTTATCAACTGAATCTAGAAGCGCTATGGCCTACTTATATCGAATTCCAAATATTTATGGGTTCTTTTACGTGCATGTCAATGTGTATACAGGACCTCTTTTTTGTCCAAGTCGAACAACTATACATCATCCCTTGGCAAGCCTTCCGCCCCGTACCGCTGACAAGGATGAACAATGCCATGGTGTAACTACGAGAACGTAGCTGATGAGGTTTGTTATCTATGCTATGGGGACCTCAAGGCTGGGTGGTAAATTTGTATCCGCACTGATGATACCATGGACCTTATTATAAGGTGAACGATGATACCAAACATCAATCAGGTGAACCTCTTGTTTTAACTAAATTTTATGATGACCCGCCCTCTCTTCACACGTGCGAATTTTAACACTTTGTTTTAATCTGACACTTTTTATAGAAGAAGAACACCTTTATATATCAACCTGTCCATAATAACTAATATGTCACTTTAAATTTGTAATAAACAACAACAGTTTGATTGTATCATTGCTTGGAAGCCTCAGTGGCTCAGTAGGAAAAGGGTTGGCTCGCTAACCTGGAGCTCAGTGATCGATCCCTGCATTGGCCGGGATTTTCCGCGTGGTTCTGCCTTGTCACTGGTGCCGGACAATCTGATTAAAATACAGATCTCTATTTCAAATACTGATTTCTATTTCAAATACTGATCTCTATTTCAAATACTGATTTCTGAAATATTGATTTCTATTTCAAATACTGATTTCTATTTCAAATACTGATTTCTATTTCAAATACTGATCTCTATTTCAAATACTGATTTCTATTTCAAATACAGATTTCTATTTCGATTCGGTTTTTTTTTTCGTTTTTTGATACTTTCTATGGCCTCTACTACATAAAGATCTGATCAGTTGTAGGGGAAGGTCGCGTCAGATGACATTCGATTAACCATTCAGCGTTGATGTTTCTAGTGGGTTACCCACAGTTCTGTGTATCTCACGCCAAAATCTCGCCGTAACCGACCGTTTCATTAGCTAATACCTCACATCATCCTGTCAAATAGGTTTTATAAAACATAGGCTTACCTGATGGGTCTGTTAGCCTGCTTTTACCAAACAACAATCTATAAGTACGGTTTCTAAGGGAGCGTTGCAACTGTCCTTTATAAGATGTGTTTCCAAATACAGCTGAAATGAAACAAAAAAAAATATTATATGAGGTTATTTCAGAATTTGCTTTTGGGGAAGGCAGTGACGGATTAACCCGATCAGTTTGAGATCAATTATGGCGCTAGGACCCGAAAGGTTTAGAATACGGAAAAAAAATTATATAAACGTTGGAGTAAAAAATAAATAACTAAACTATATTCAACTAAACTTATTTTAATTTCATTTCAATTATGGTGGGTGCTAAAGAATTGTCGACCATAAAAACAATAGATATACATTGTCCGTCAATTTTACAGCACCACGGAGAACACCCCCCCCCCCCCTTCGTTGCTCTGAGCTAGTTAGGGCCTTGGTTAATCTACTAGAACATTTCTGGGGGCTTTGCTACTTTTTGCTCACTGCAACTTTATTACATATTTTTTTAGCGTTTTACGTCAACTAGCAGACTATCACCGTCAAGATCGGTTGTATTATTTGTTACGTCTTTCTTGTAATCCGGGTCCAGGACTTACAGCGCACTGGAAGCTTAAGCCCTGTTCATACGGCGACATCCTTGTATATATACAAATTTGCATACATATTCAAATATACACACTTGTGCAAACATATTTTTGCAGTGCCTTCATACACACTTTTAATACCATGAGTATATTTGTATTGAACAATATAAGTCATTCCTTGTTATACGCCTACATGGAAATGTGGTCATATCGCCGTCGCCGACGTACGTCGGTCCGTCAATCCGTCGTCCACTCTCAGATTACATTTATGATCTGTTGTTTTGAAATTGATATATATTACGGTGTTTACATTAGTGAGATGAAGAAGCCTATTTAACTTCAATAATTTATTTTAATTTCTTCTGGAGTTATGGCCTTTGTTTCACTGCGTTGCACCCTATGAACACTCTAACAACAAAAGCGACCATCTGTATGGAATTTGTATGCATCATTTACATTAGTTAAATGTTAACGACAAATTTTATTTTCCGATCTGTATGACATTTATATACACCATTTGAATTGGTGAAACCATGGACCGTGTATGTGAAACACAGAAACCTATTGAATTTAAGAAATTTCAGTTAATTAATTATAGAGTTATGGCCCTCATTTCATTTTGTTGGGCACTGTGAACGTTCGAACGACAAAAGTTATCATCCGATCTGTATATAATTTATATTTTATATATGCATCATTATTGAAACGAAAAAATCTATTGAATTTCAGCAATTTCTGTCAATAAATTCTAGAGTTACGGCCCTTGTTTTCATTTGTTGAACTTTGTGAACGCTCGAACGACAAAAGTTATCATCCGATCTGTATGAAATTTATATGCATTCTTTAAATTAGTAAAACGAAATAGCCTGCCGAATTTTAACAATTTCGGTAAATCAGTTCCGGAGTTGTGGCCATTGTTTCAGTTTTTAAAACCTTGTCTTTTAAATGTCCACCATTACCTACAAAAGTATAACTATGCGACAACCCTTGTCGACCGCACAGGCGATTTAGCAACTGTGGCAACCTATCTGTAGTTTGTCTTGTCCGCAGATTTGTTTTGTCGGTTTTCTTTTGCGTGTGTGCCCCCTTCCCCCACCTCCCTTTCACTTACAGATACATTATGGGAGATTAGATAATGAGCTGGTAGTTCTCACTATCTATCTATCTATCTATACTAATATTTGTGACTGTCGTTTGTCTGTCTGTTCGGGGTTGGCGGCTACACTAGGTCTGCCCCGAGTCTGAAATTTGGGGTATAGGGGTAGCTCGGACCGGGGAGTAACATAGGCCAGGTGGCGTTAGTCTACCACTTCCGGTTTCGGGGTTATGACCCCCGAGCGAAGCCGGGCATTCTTCTAGTAATAGTTAAAACTAGATAATGTAAAGGGGATTTGCTGAAAATTGCAGTCAAATTTAGCAATTGAATTTTGAGCCTAGCCTCGATCATCATTACTAAGGTCGGTACGATTAAAAAAAACATAGTCTCGATTATCCATTTTTTGATTTAATCAGAAGCAGCAAACCTGGTTCTAATCCAGTAAATATCGCAGGCTAGTGATGCCATCGAGAGTGGATCAGTTAAAGATACATTAGTTAAGAGTTTTATAAAGAGTTGGCCATTCTTGCTATAATAATTCAAAAATAGATGATAAAAAAAGAAAATGTTGAAAATTTCAGTCAAATTACTTTGTTCTGAACGGAATTGTCACTTTTGGAAGTTTGGACTAGAAATGGGCATCAATTGTGTCTGCACCATTTATGAGAATTGGCGACCGTTTGATTGACAGACGATAACTCCACCAACATATTTTCGATTATCAAGTAACATGCTTGGCAGGCCTTTCATCACCAGTTTCCGTTAGTGATCTCAGCGACTAACGGTAAACATTAGCTTGGTCCGTCATGTATTGATTTAATTTTAAATGGACGACTGTTTAAATCCAAACTGTACCCAAGCCATCCGTGGGTCTACAGAGTTGATTTTGAGCTTGTCGTGTAAATAAAGGTCTAATTAATAATTTCTATAACATCTGAAGCCTAAATAAAGACTTGCAATAAGCAGATTTAGCTCTTGCATAATGTATGTTTAATTAATGTCTAATTAATAATTTAGAAAACATTCAGGCCTAAAGAAAGACCTGCAATTGGCAGATTTAGCTCTTGCATAATGTATGTTTAATAGGTTCAGCGAATTATACATTCTAGAGCGCGCGTGACTTGATAATTTATGTTTGTCATGATTTTGAATAATCAAGTAACATATAATATTATGGCAGCTATTATTCAATGGCTGGTTGTTTTAGTGGATTTATTATATAATACTTTATTGTTTTTAGAGTTTATCAATGTCAACAAACCATGACAAGGGTGCTACTATAAATAGACTTTTAAAGTTTACCGTCGAAATTGTGCATTTCGTGAATTAATTCAATTTTATTTTATTGGTATAATTCATAGGTCAGGGGCGCACAACAGAGGTGTATACAGTTATGAGCTTAGTCTAGATAGTCAAATGGGCCGAATTGTTTGCCGAGTGGGTCGATTTTTTCGGTAAAATGGACCGGTTTACCAGAATCTCTTACACATTCAATCAACCCAAAATTTCGTGTTATCAAGAATTGGGTGAAATTACTCCGCGAGCATGAGGAAATTCCTGCGCATCGTAGTGGAATTATGTAATATTGGGTGGTATTGTGTAATATGGGATGGTATTGTGTAATATTGGGTGGTATTGTGTAATATGGGATGGTTTTGTGTAATTTTGGGTGGTATTGTGTAATATTGGGTGGTATTGTGTAATATTGGGTAGTATTGTGTAATATTGGGTGGTATTGTGTAATATTGGGTGGTATTGTGTAATATTGGGTGGTATTGTGTAATATTAGGTGGTATTGTGTAATATTGCGTGACATTGTGTAATATTGGGTGGTATTGTGTTATATTGGGTAAAGCCTCCTATCGGATTTTGGACGCACGTGAAGGTCCATCAAAGGGCGGAAAAAAAATCGACTGGTGTAATCGAAAACTATTTGTTATTTTCCATTATTATTCCTTTTGACCCAGTAATTAGATTATCATACATTATTGTCGTCAGTAAAGTCAGCAAAGACAAATCGATTCAAAAGACGCGTTGTTGAAAATTTTAACCAATTTAGAATAATTTCACTTATTGTATTCTATTCATAATATTCTCATGTTGGTGTTTGACGAGGGGGGTTGGATGGCCGAATGGTTAACACTTGTGCGCTGTATCATAACGTCTGTCATTGAGTCAACTGGCGTGGTTTTGATTCCCCGGCTGTAAGTGACAAGGAGTAGGGTGGCCTGTCCAGTCTCGTGGGTTTTCTCCGGGTCCTTCGATTTCCTCCCACTGCTAAAGACCCCTACGCGCAAGTGAATTATTGAAATAAAATTAAACCACGTGTTAGTCCGGAAATGACCTAGTTTGTATCTAGTGGACGTTAAATCCCATCTCTCTCTCTCTCTCTCTCTCTCTCTCTGGTGTTTGACGTATTTTATGACGTATTAAATGTCAGTTTCGATTACAGAAAATATTCGATCAAACTAACTGACCCTTGCCTACAAGCATCAGTTGAATTCAAACGAATCCACGTGTTTGACAACGACTGTACTATGATCCCGATGACGAATCTATTTCATCAAATTAAAATACATTATTCTTGTATTGTGTTCATATATTCTGACAGTTGAATTGAAACGAATCCACGTGTTTGACAACGACAGTACGATGATCCCTATGACGAATCTATTTCATCAAATTAAAACATATTATACTTGTATTGTATTCATATATTCTGACAGTTTAATAAATGATGATAATTCACTTGTATCATATGACATATATGGATGTCAGTTTCAGCCACATTAACTGATTGACACTTTGTACTCATCCTAACTTAGTACTTTATCTAACTTTGAAATGGGGTTTAACGTCTTCTTACTGTTCTACACCGAGTGGCATTACAACTAACGGGCGCCATGCAGTGTGCTATAAGGAGAGAGAGAAATGGGGTTTAACGTCCACTCGACACAAACTAGGTCATTTCGGGACAAGGTTGGACAGGCGACCCTACTCCTTGTCACGTACAATCTGGGAATCGAAATGTGCTATAAGGACAATTTTGCCCAGACAGCAGCGCTACGGTCTACTCTTATTTTCAATTTCAACTGTCGGGGCCTCTTTTACGTGTATACAAACGGGTACACAGAAACTCGGTTTTTCGACCCATCCGAACGATTAGAGACCGCTCCTTGGCAGGCTCTCTGTCTTGCACCACAGACAAGGAGAAGCCAAGCTGGAAAATCCCGAGGAACAACAAAACGAGAGAATATACGCATGTATATTAAGGATGCATTATGTAAGATAGAGAGATAGCTGTCCGTTCGTGCTATAATAGTTCAAAAATAGATGGGGGGGGTGAATGGTTAGCGTGTGCGCGCTGTATCATAACGTCTGCCATTGAGTCAACAGGCGTGGTTTCGATTCCCCGGTTGTACGTGACAAGGAGTAGGGTCGCCTGTCCAACCTCGTGGGTTTTCTCCGGGTCCTCCGGTTTCCTCCCACTGCTAAAGACCCCTACGCGCAAGCGAATTGTTGAAATAAAATTGAACCATGTGTTAGTCCCGAAATGACCTAGTTTGTGTCGAGTTGACGTTAAACCCCATCTCTCTCTCTCTCTCTCTCTCTCTCTCTCTCTCTCTCAAAAATAGATAATCAAAAATCAATATATTGAAAGTTTCATTCAAATTACTGTATTTTATGATTGTCTGAAGATGTAGCGTATATCGTTTATTATCGTAACAACGTTACTCGATTATCCATGTTCAAATCCATTTAAATCTCGGCAGTGCGATCCCCTAGAAAGTTGATTGTAGGCTTGTCATGTGAATAAATCTAAATATTAATTTGAAACCAAGAAGAAATACCCGCAATAGGCAGATTTAGCTATTACAAAATAAAGCTACTGGCGAGAAAATAAATTGGGTTTTTTTCTATGACATGAAATGGGGGTTTAAGGTTTTACTTTTTACGCAGACTTTTACATAAATTCCAACAGTCTTTCACGTGCACGCCAACGTGTACGCGGAACCGCGGTTTAGCCTCCCACCCCAAAGACTTGTCCACGACGGAAAATACCCAGAAATTTTCTCAGTCAACCGGGGTCGAACCCAGTCCTTCCTGGTCAGCGAGTCAGCACCTTTCTTTTCAGCATCAACTTGACTAATGAAGACGGAGCCACGCCAACTATCAGTGGTTCTGTTACGTGCACGCCAATGTAACATCCAAACAACTAAACGCTGTTCATTGTTTTTCGTGAACGAAAGGAATCAATGATATCCAAATAGTACAATTCCCGAGTCAAGTCACCTTTAATGTTCAACAACGCCAAATAGTTCAGTTACTCCTGATGTAATATCACACATGCGCACATAGAATTACAACATTCAAATTAGATATAATATAAGCAAAACAAAAATTAAATAAATTTAGTTGAATATTACTTTAGTTCAATTTCTTATTTACTCAAAAGTTTCAGTATTCTACAGTCGTTGTTGTTTGTATTTCAGAGGAGAGCCAAAAAAAAGATCTCCTCAATCAACCAAATTGAAAAAAAATCGCTCCCCTAAAAAAACTCTCCCAATTTTGTTAAGAAGAGTGATTGGTTATGTGTATGGGAAATGGTTCTGAAGATCAATAACTGCATGTTAGGGGATCGTTCCTGGTATACTTCATAAATGATAATCAACCTCCGACGACTTTGTAAAGGAGAGCGGAGGAGGGAGAAAAATCTCCCCTCGGTCGACATTCAGATAGCGGCAGGTGCTCGAGAGCGATCGCTCGCCTTAAAAATGACTGATTCTAACTTTCCAACTGGCAGGTAAGTATCTTACGTCTAACTGTACTTACCTGTCTTGCCCTTGGATACAGTTTTTTTCGCAGGTTTGGCATCCGTAGTTAAAGCAAGAACACATAGTGCCAAGACTGCAGTAGCAATAATAAAACGCATTTTGACTTCTAACCAATGTCCAGCAGGCCCTTAGAACACTTCTTCTGAGATGCCGAGCGAATTCTTGGGAAGAGTCGTATTCTAATAGCGACTGACACTCCTTATATTAGATTGTATGATATATTTTTTTTTGTCTGAAGGATATAAATCATTATGAACTGTCAAACCACCGAGGCGCGATCTAATCTTTTATTTCTGTAGCCTCTAGCGACAAAATAAAAGTGACACAGTCACGAATTTCAAATTGAAATGAAATGCAATGAAATGGGGTTTAACGTGCTACAGTTCTGCTTCCACTGGGCTAATGAAGACAGGCATACGCAATACAGTGTTCTATGAGGGAAAGTTTGCCGGGGCAGCGGCGCTACGGCCTACTGTTCTATCGAATTCCAACTGCCAAGGGATCTTTTACGTGCACGCCAATGTGTTGCGTCCCATCCGAACGACTAGACAACTGTCGGTGTCAGACCCCCCGTCTTGCACCACTGACAAGAGGAAACCACGCCGGAAAAATCACAATTTCAAACTCAAAGCATCACTTTAACACTGCTTAAAGGCTCAATACCACTCTTGTTATAACTGAATAATATGTCCCAATCTTTATTCTGGTCAACAAATTGTACTATTTTAGAATATTTCAATTAATTGATGATACAAATTTCATCTTAACACACCTTATTTAAAATTTTTGAAAAATTCAACATAATGGTTTGAAACGTCTAACGTAAACCTTTTCAAATGAAACTTCGATTTAAAAATATTTTCGAACCCTCTGGACAAGTAAAATAGGATGTAATGGATAATTTACACAATAGGTAGGACACTTAAACATCTAGTACTTGGATAGAGATATTATTTATTTTCTCGAGCTTTCAAGCCAGCAAGAGTGTTATTGTCCCTTTAAATTGACTCAGTAAGAAAAACACCGGTACACTGGCCTGGGAATAGCATCTAGATAGTCCTTCGAACAGTACCACAAACCGGGGTGAATATTTCATTTGACAACTCCTTGTCACGTCCACACAACACAAAATAAGATCATATTTTGGGAGTGTGTAGTAGTTTAAGGGTCCGGAGAAAACCCACGGGGTTAGGCAAGCAGTCTCCTACTCTTATATCGAATTCCAACTGCCAAGGGATCTTTTGCGTGCACGCCAATGTGTACACCAGACCTCGGTTTTCGTCCCATCCGAAGGACTAGACAGCTGTCTTTGTCAGGCCCTCCGTCCTACACCACTGACAAAGGGAAACCACGCCGGAAAATTTTTGCAGACAAACAAAACGTTCAGGAATTTGAGCAGGGTAGAGCCCTGGAGGAGACGATGCCAAGTTTGGCGTGAGGTCTAGGGGACTAACCGGGAATTCTATAGGCGCTGAGACAATATTTCTGCTCATTTTGGTGCTTGTGTAGAGTGCGGTGAGACCAAAAACGGCGGCAATGCTTCGTACGTATGTTATTTCAATGAATGTAGGAGACAAAAAAAAATGTTATATTTTGTACATAAGAATCTTTTTTTTAATTCTATATAAATAAAATCAAAGATGCGGTATCAAATTAACTAGCTTGACCCCGTGAATGTTTAAGGCCATAGAATTTGGGCCCCGGGTGAAATTGTGCCCCGGCAGAATTTGGAACCCGGGCCAATATAGGCCTCGGGCGAATTGGGTTCCACCTGAATTTGGGCCCCGAGCGAATTTGGACCCCGGGTCAATTTGGGCCCCGAGCCAATTTGGTCCCTTGGGGAATTTGGACCCCGAGCTAATTTAGGCCCCTTTGGAATTGGGCCCCGTTGAGAATTATGGTCATGGGGGCGAATTGGGCCCGAGTGCGAATTTGGGATCCTGCTAATGCAAAATACAAGCAAACGCATGACAGTTTGATAAAGAGAAACCATAAAAAAACCACTGTCATTCTGTATTTATAAATAACGCAACTTTAAAATTATGACAAACCAACAAACATTCTGTTTCTATTTGTTTGAGTTTGTTTTTGTGTCCATTGAATAATTTAGAAAGATGTACCTTGTGTTGGATTAAATTCAAGTTCCACGAATCATGCCGACAATAATTTATGTCGGTATTATTTTTGTCGGATTTAATATCAAGTTGATATTATTACGACGAATAATCACCGGGAAAGAAAAGATAGATTCTTATCCACGGTAAGAAGTGTAACATTTTTAGATTGCCCCCATTCTGTGTGTATTTGCTGCGAAGAACCAACACTTTCCGGGGGCACCGTCAGTTAAAGACACGTTATGTATGATTTAGATAAAGAGCTAGCCATTCTTGCTATAATGGTTCAAGAATAGATAATGTAAAATGAATAATTTGAAAATTTCATTCAAATTACTCTATTGCGAGCAAAGATATTAGCCTTTGAAGGCTTGACAAGACGTGTGCAATAATTTCAACCACCATGCTGGTTGTTCGAAGCTAAGTCTCGCTTCTCCATTTTTAGCTTAAATCAAAATATGGCTGAATTGTTCTAATCTGTTTAATATCGGAGAAATCCGATGCCATCGAGAGTTGATTATGACCTGGATAAGTTAATTAATGTCTAATTAATAATTTAGAAAACATTTCAGGCCTAAAGAAAGACCCGCAATAGGCAAAATTTAGCTCTTACATAATGTATGTTTAAGTGCCAAAGAAAGTGTCTGTCCAATAATTCCGATGGTATAAGGACATAGGCGGAGGAGCCAGATTCGGTGAACCGTCCATTTTTCGGGCAATGTATTTCCGTTTTTCGGGCACAAACATTAGAGAATAAGACCATTTATCATAGAAATACAACTGTAAAAGGAAATCACTCGCGGTTTACGTTTTGAATACTAAGGTCCCGCTTTGTAGAGAACTCGTTTTCGTTAATGATTGCTTCACTCTGAAAATTCGGGTGAAAAAGAAATTTTTCGGGTAAATAGCCTTACCCCCCCCCTCTCCGCAGCTGTGACTCATTGGCCCCCTACGCCTATGTATACGGAAAATCCGAGCATTGGTGTAACTGGAGATTTGACAGAACAACATTATGGCATATGTATGTACTTAGCCTCTATCATCCACAAAAATATATTTTACGAATGACGACTAGGAGGTGCTGGGTGACCGAGACTAGTATGTACTCCGTTTTAGTTTTACTGATGTAATAATAACCCGATGTACACGTTTTCAAGCAAACAAATAGAAAAACCAAAACAGTGACCACCAGACGCCAGAATATCAAGAAGAAAATGTTTTCATCATATAAACTATTCGGTTTTTTTTCAATACCCATGGGAAAATCATGTTGAACTGGATTAAACGCACAATACTAGATCCTTTGTACGATCTGAGAAATATCTTTCTCCAGGGTTAGGGTTAGGGTTCGAGTTAGGTTTAGAAATTACATGTCAAACGTACAGATTGAAGCTGTTACAACGGTGGATTGTGGCTATAACTATTCTGAAGGGTTCGGGTTAGAATTGTGAGTATAAACACGGAAAGAATCAAAAATATTTCTCAGATCGGGAAGATCCAGTATCGTGCGGATTAAACGGAAGTGGGCCCCGGATACCCTGGCCGTGATGAGATTCTCAACCGGGAGACGGCGCGCAGGTCCAGGCAGGTGGCTTATAGTTTTTAATTCCAACAATTTGTTCAAAAAAAGTGGACTGACAGAATCCGATTCTAATCCTACCCATGCACATCCACATTTAGAAAAGTCGCCGATATCTCTTCTACGTTACGATCAAGTTGCAGTGTATTTTTTATTATTTTTTTTTATTATTATTTAATTTATAACAAAATTTAAAAAAACCCAACAACTCGGGAGGGTCTAAGGCGCTCGCTTTAGATCATAGGGTCTGTCACTGACCCCCCCCCCCCCTCTCTCTCTCTCTCTCTCTCTCTCTCTCTGTGTGTATAGACACCTGCAATTTCATTTGTAGAGTTACAATTTTGTAGGTTAAAGTCAAAAATAAAATCATAAATGCCAACTAAACGTGAAATTAACAAGTATATGTGCAATAAATAACGACGAACTGTCATATTGACTAGTAGACACTTGGCGGTTTATGTAAAATTCACGATATATTAATATTTTCCTCTTTTTCTGGAACGTATTGAGCTACAACTGTCATTAACACGACATGCGTCTAGATTATGTTTCATGTTTCGTCATTTCAAATTTAAACACGGTAGTTAAAGGAGCTATATCGCTAATATTTTGGACCTAGAAATTGACACAAATGGGTTGCAACGCATATAATAATGTAATATGAATGTTTATAAACTGATTTACATCCAATCGTTTCCGTTTTTACTTTCAAATCAGTTATCTTCGGCGAAATACGCCAGAAGTTTCAATCGAATGGCAGTCTCTTGCGTCTGATTATTCCAGTCTACACCGATAGTGTTTATTGCGCAGTTAAGAATGTGGCGTCACAGTTTGACATGACTAGTGGAATATGTCTAGATTCGTTCTTCGAATCTATTGTTACAAATGGGGCTGAAACGCATGCACGGTACACGTTTTAATGTTTATTTTGTCTTAAATATTAGATATCAGAAGCCCATCTTTCCCAGTAAGATAAAAACATCAATGTTGATTTAAATTGACAATTAATTCGTGTTTTCAATGTCGAAAACTTTGGATGATATTAAGTTAGAGACTTAGCTTCTTTAAATGTATAAACTGTTGATTGAAACAAAACGGAAAGAGAAATAAAAAACTTTTCGTAGACCTTAGTCACATACAGTTTTAAATTCACGATGGGAATTTGAAGGGATGTCAACCAAGAACTGTTACCCCGCCCCTGCTCTGCTCTCTATCCGATAAGATCCGTTACTAAAGTAACTACCCCCTCCCACCCCTAGTTGAATTAGATTACAATTTCACCGTCCTAATAATCACCGGTCAGAGCGTTTATATTTTAGTCAACATCGCCCAAAGCATTCCCTTTCGGTCACCTGTGCCATATTTTGCAACTTTTTTTTTTTTTGTTTTTGATTTTTTTTGATTATATGTAAAAAGTACAATGTACAAAGTCCTAATATCAGTAATGATAAGGCAAAAGTTAAATACAACACGTCAAAAGTAATGTGTCAAATGGCAAATGTTTTATTGTAAAATGATGTTTTTCGACGTGCCAACATTTTACATTTCTCTCAATCTGATTAAAATACAGATCTATATTTCGTTTCGTTCATGTGTTCTTTGGATGGCCTACTCTACATGAAGATTTGAAAAGTTGTACTCGAAGGTCGTGTTAGGGGTCGTAAGAGCGGATTTTGACCCTATGACGTCAGACATTGATTAATCAATAAGCGTTGGCGTTTCTAGTGGTTTACCCAAAGCTCTGTGCATGGCACGCCAAAAAGTCGCTGTAACAAACTATTTCATTGGCTTGTCCACCACTTCAACCAAAACGGTAATATAACAACTCTTCCAGATCCTATTGTAGTAAAGACAAGTAAAACGAAATTTTAACTATAAAAAAACGAAACGAAACAGGATCTGTGTTTTAATCAGATTGCATTTATCTCATTACGTTTAACATTTATGCTCTGTCGCATCTCATTAATTCCCCTTCGTGCTTTATACATAGCATCTTACGCACAGCACTATCGTTGATGTTATGCAAATATAGGTATCACGTGACTTATTAACATATATGGACACGACGCTGAGGTCAACCTGGCACACTATAAGCCAGCATGCAATAAGGGTATTCACCACACGATAAGAGGAAATCAAGCTGACAAAGTATAAGAAATTCGCTGGACGACCGTGACTGCAACGAAATCTCGTGGTTGGTAAGGCTAATGTAGGGTACCAGAATCTGCCGAGGTTTGCCGAGTGAGGCTAATCCGACAAATAAGATAAACTGAAAGTATAGTCTATTTTTAGAATTTTTTGTGTACTGGCTTATAGTGTGTCAGGTTGATCTCGGCTCCGTGTTCATATATGTTAATAAGTCACGTGATATCCTATATTTCCATATCAAAGATAGTGCTGTGTGCAAGATGCTATATGTAGAATGCGTGAGGGACAAATGAGATGCGACAGAGAGCAAAAATGTAATGTGTGAAATGTAAAATGTTGACACGTGAAAAAATCAGTAGTTTTCAATAAAACATTTGTCATTTGACGTTTCACATTTAACTTTGGTCTTACGAGGTAATTTGACTTTATCGTTACCGGTATTAAGACTTTGTACATTGTACTTTTTATACGTAATCAATAGAAAAGACATTTTAGCAGAGAATTTATTATTGGCAGCAATACCCTTCCTTATATATGAACTATATAGAAGGGGGTGGGGGCATCGAGCAGAACGAGTGGGGACTACTATTATAAAGGATTTGCACCTACGGGACACATTAAGACGGACATATGGACAATTAATTCCAAAATGCACACAGAACTTTTGTTTTTTCGTCCTATCCGAACGACTGCACACCTTTCCTTGCCAGTCCCTCCATCCTGTACCACTAACAGGGGGAAACTACGAAGGAAAGTCACGGGGAATATTTTCGGCTAACATTGGGATCCAACCCCGAACCTCCTGGAAAGTAAGTCAACGACTTACTCAGTGAGCCACCTATGACGTAACGCTTGTCATTGCGTCCCCATAACTTACTTTTAGATCCTGTTTAAATGACATTTCTTCATTTGCTGAATTGTAATAGTTTATGTAAGTGTACAGTGCCTAGCATAAAATATCGTGATATCATACATTTATTGCATTTCCCTGAGGGTGCATACAGGTCACAGTTCTATGGAATACAATTACTGCTATTTAGGCTTCTCTAGTCATTATCAAGCGACGACGTTTCGACTAGGCTTCTCTAGTCATTATCAATAAGCAGTAACTGTATTCCATAGAATTGTGATCAGTCCTGTATATTGCAATTCAATTACTAAGTTCCATTGAAACAATTTACATTGTGTGTGTGTGTTCAACTGTCGACTAAGTGCAGGTCACAATTAAATTGCCAAGTGACCTATGTAACTGTACAGCGCCGGATTAACCATGGTGGGAGCCCTAGGGCCTTGAGTGTGCGGGGGCCCCCAACCTAAAACATGTGATCAGAACTTAAGCAGTATTACGTTCCTCGATTGGACGGCAGAAAAAAGAAAAAAGTACGTACGGCAGTGGCGGCGCCCCCCCCCCCCCCAACTAATATTAGAAAATAAAAAAACAGTATTGGTGATGCGTTTCGGTAAATCAATACCTTCTCCGGCGATTAAATCCAAGATCACCACTGAGTCATAGACTTGCATGTTGTTGTAGAGTCTGAGTGATTTCTTATCTTACCGAACCCACCCTGCTGTAAACCTATAAACAATAACACGCGAACCACTTGAGAAGTGTTTTTTACGATCCTCAAAGTTTTTGGGAATATGTTCGATGCGGCGAACAATATACACTCACTCAGTTCGTTTGACATCGCCCTCTGTTCGGATAAGCTGGTGATGTGGAACACTATCTGGTCAGCTCTATTTATCTCGACGACCGTGTCTGAAATACTTCCAGGCTGCATTTCCGGCAGTCTATATCTCAAAATATCGTGGCGAAAATATTTATTCACTTTGATTCACTCACTCCGTTCGTTTGAAACTTTCCTCTCTGGGCGGATAAACTAGTGATTTGGCGACAGGTGGTATATGGTAAGCTCTATTTATCTGGTCTATCAGCGCCTGAAATACTGCCAGACTGCATTTCCGGCAGTCTATTTTTCAGATTTCCGGAGGCTACGTTGAGGTTCGAAAGTCCGTTCGTTTGACACTTTCCTCTATGGGATCGGATAAACTAGTGATCAGGCGACAGACGGTATCTGATCAGCTCCATTTATCGCGACAATCGGTGCCTGAAAACTGTTTAACAGCACTTCCGGCAGTCTGTTTTTTCAAAATTTTCTTGGGAAGGTCTCCAATACCCTTCGTATGGAATCGCTACTTTGTCGCTCATGGCGGGACTTCGTTTAAACTAGTGATCAGGCGACGGACGGTATCTGGTCAGCCCTATTTATATCGACGGTCGATGTCTGACCGAGTACAGTGAGACAGCATTTCCGGCAGTCTATTTTTCAAAATTTTCTTGGGGGGGGGGGGGGTCCCCTACCCCCAGTAAACACTTTGGCGCACGTGAGTGGGCTTCGTCAAGGTTCGCAAGTCCGTTCGTTTGACACTTTATCTCAACGATCGATCAGTGCCTGAAATACTGCCAGACTGCATTTCCGGCACCCTGTTTTTCAAAAACATCTTGGGGAGCCCCCACCCCCACCCCTAGTTGAAGCTGTGCATTTGCCCCCTTAACCATGGACCTTTGCCCCTCCAACCACCGGTGGCTGGCTCCGCCACTGACGTTCGGAGATCACCATTGACATTTTTGAAGTTACCTTGATTCCTCCTTCTAAGGAGCACAACAATTTGTAACCGAACTATTGCCGCGTTTTCTAGATAAACATTTCCCGCTAAATAGACAAATAACAGAAACACGGATACCAGTCGAAAGTACGACCCGGCAGCGCCGAATTACACTGAATTTTCGGATATCAACCGCATCACGGCCCCACAATGGATGTAAGGGGTCCCAATGTCCAGGATTTTGAAAATTCGACGAAGTGCCTGGGCTAGGGCCCCATCAATGCCACTAGCATATGGGGTCCTCGGTCCGACCATGCTCAACATCGCTGGTTGCGCAACTGAGATTTTTTTGTAGGGGTGGGGGCTGATGTGGGGGGGGGGGGGGGGCTGGGGCCTGAACCGCACCGCGCCCCGTGGTTAATCTGGCGCTGTTACAGTATCAGTTAAAAAGACAAATTAATGAAATGAAGTGGGTTTAACGTCCTATCTCCGACTGGGCTAAAGAAAACAGGCTAATTAAGACGGGCATACGGCAATCGCTATGAGGGAAGTTTGTCCTGGACAGCGGCACTACGGCCTACTCTTATATCGAATTCCCAAACGTTGTATAATCCTATTTTGCGTCATGGTCGGCTATGTGCTACATGAAATATAAATATAGGCACATTAATAAACTTTAAAAGAAAATTATTGGCAAGAGACAAATCATTCGAGACTACGGGCACCTGTTTCCTATATGACGTCACGCACAGCAACAAAAAGTTGTTTACATCATGGCGTCTTATGTCTTCCGGTTTGTTAATTTGCGGTGAGAAGTTTGTATATTTTGCTTGATTTAGTGTTTTTTCGATCGTTTTAAAATGCCAGGTAAAAAGAAACCTAAAGGAAAAAAGAAAGGAAAGAAAGCGACAAAAAGTTCAGCTGTTTCACAGAAATCAACTGATGTTTTACAGCCGGAAGCCATTTCTCAACCTATTCTTCCCCGAGAAAAAGTAAGTTCAGTTGCCTATAATATAGATGTTTATGGCTATATATTTCTCAAATTGTATCAATATTTACTATTCTATGTTCTAAGCTACAAATTGTCTAGAATGCTAAAGAAGGAAAGTGATCTAACTCTAGAAATGGTTCCATTGGTAGATAACAAACCTTACCTCTCAACCCTCCGTGTTTCGAGATAAGAGATGATGCTATTACCTTCAATGTAGCACATGCGGGAGCGATTCGCACCCGGCAATTGTAAACAAAATTGACAATATTTTTAATCAAAACAACGATTGGTTATTGTTATTTATAATATTTCTGCCACACCCAACTACAATTAAGCATATAATCCTACCTGAAATGGGTACAAATCCCCTCTTTTTTAATCAAAGCGACAGTAGATTGCTTTTTCCGATATTTTAAATTTACGTCTGTAACACATACATTAATATAGAAATTGAGTTTGCCACTTGGAACTAAAGGCATCCAATCAGAGCTAAAAACAAGCACATCAGTATATCTCAGCATTTTTAGTTACGTTCTCTTAGCTAGGGGATTGGTAGAAATGGTTCCACTACTGATGTCTTCCACCTTACTCCAGCCACAGTAGTGGCTCATCCTACAGAGTTCCTTTGCGCAATTTTTTTAGTCAAATGACTACATAAAGGTTACTGGCCTATAGCTCCCTTAATTTACACATAAACTGACCCAAAACAGTACTGCACATAGCTTAACATATAATAAATCAATTCCCATTGAAATAAAGGTGAAGCCTTACCACATCATTATATGATATAATGAAACCCAACTGCTATGCAAAATTTCAACTGGCCAGTGTCATGGCGGCTTGTGTAATACGTCATTACAAGAAACATCGCTATGCAAATGTAGAACGCATAACCACAAAGAAAAACTGTTTAGTAACTATTTTAGTGGTCCAGTCTTCACTATTTGTCATAGAATTACTTATTCCAATACAAACTGTAATGATATGTGTTGACAATTGTGCGTTTGAACCTATTTGAACTTGCGTAAGGAGTCTTAGACTGTATAAATTGTAACGTTAAACACACAGTTTAACGTTACAAGTATAGTAACTAGGGGGTTGGATGGCAGAATGGTTAGGCATAAGGTTTATCATTGATATTTCTCTTCTTTCTAACTTAAAATGTCCGCCCAGCCAGAAATAGCATATGCATTCTGCCGCACGTGATCATACGTCACGATCCATATATGGAATTCATGTCCATATTTATATGCTAATATTTTCCCGTTAGAATAACTTGTAGCAATACTTCTTTATAAGGAAAGCGATAAGCGGGGTTAATGCGTCGTGATATTTGGCGAGATTTCACCTGGGTGATGTCATGACGTCCTGTACATCATTTGAAATATCGCTTCGAAAATGTAGAATGCATTACCACAAAGAAAAACTGTTCTTTACCTATTTTAGTGGTCCAGTCTTCACTATTTGTGATACAATTACTTATTTCAATACAAATTGTGATGATATGTGTTGAGAATTCTGCGTTGGAAGCTATTTTTACTTGTGCAAAGCCTCTTAAACTGTATCAATGGTAGCGGTGAACACAAGTAGGCACTTTAGGTCATAAGGTCTATCATTGATTCAAGTGGCATGTTTTCGATTCCCAGCATGTGTACATCATGACAATTGAAGGATTAGTGTCACCCGCCCGGCTGTGTGATTTTCTCTGCATCCTACAGTTTGCTCCCACCACTGCTAAAGACCCCTACACGAAGTCAATTATTGAAATACTGTTAATGTACTGTACCATAATGCTGGTCTCGAAATGTCCTGGTTTGTGTCGAGTGCATGTTATCCCCTTGCAGTCATCGAAATTATGATGTTTTTATTCTATTTATATCAGCTGATTGATCTACTGACATCGAATCCAGTTGATGAAAAAGAAGTTCATGGTAACAAAGTATCAACAAGAGTTCTTAAAGAATTAACACCACAAGAAATTCGTGATTTGAGGATTGTTTTTGATCTTTTTGACATTAACAATGATGGGTGAGTTATGAGTCCAATCAGAAATCTTTAAATGCTGAGTAAAGTTCTTGAAAATAATACCCAAATTTCAGTATTAAATTTTTCTGCAGAAAGCCATGCCAAGACCAAGTTACAGGGCCTGGAAAATGAAAAAACAGGCTTTAGCCTCATCGGGTAACAGTGAATAGGACCTGAGGAACATCCTGGGATGTGTGAAGTGATACCCCTCTCCTTAAATCATTTCCGATACTTTACATAGATAATTACTATTTAAATGTACAATATGTTCATTCATTGTCTAATACTGTTGTACACATTGGCCAATCCGATTAAAATACAGATCTATTTTTAGTTTCGTTTTTTTTATATTTCGATGGCCTCCACTACATGAAGATCTGACAAGTTATAGTGGGAGGTCGCGTTAGGGGTCATATGAGCGACTTTTGACCCTATGATGTCAGATATTTGATTAACCAATCAGTGTTGCAGTATTCACTGCAAATGTCTACCCACATTTCCGTTCGTCGCACGACAAGAACTCGCTGCAACAAACCATATCATTGACCCATCCCCCGTATCAACTAGAACGCGGGTTGTATATCAACTCTTCGAAATCCTAGTGTAGTAAAGACAAGTAAAACGAAATTTTGGACTATAAAAAACGAAACGAAAAAGGATCTGTATTTTAATTAAATTGAACAGTAGGGGGAATGGGATGCACCTAAAATATTCCTTGACATTGGAATTTTGTTGAATAATAGGCGAAAACGCTGCTGTCTGGACAAAATTCACTATCCTGGCCCAAAAACATAAAAAAAAACATATTTTAGTCTCAAAATGTTGTCTAGACTCTCAACTCCATTCCTGCCCTTGTTTTTAACAACACAAATTGAGGTGCACATAAAAGATCCCTTGGCTGTAGGAGTTCGATATACAAGTAGGCTGTAGCGTCGTTGTCCAAGCAAAATTTCCCTCATGGCACACTGTATGGCATAAGCCCGTCGTTTTTAGCCCAGTCGGAGCAGAATAGTAGGATGTCATACCCCATTTCATTTCATTTCATTTTTTTTATTTTGTAGATTTATTGGATCTGCGGAGCTCCGCCGAGCATTAAAGGCACTAGGATTTAAAATATCCAAAATAGAAGCTCAAAAACTTATTGTTGACTCAAGTGCTAAAGGAATGAGGTAAATTAATTTACACCTGATTATCAAATTTAGTTGTGGTTCAATATGTTCATGACAGGGTTGCTATTTCAAACTTTTGTACTTCAGACATTTTTAGTTGGCGATAATAACACAGAGTCCAGAATTAGGTTGTTGTCTGCTTCAGGAAATAAGGTCAATAAGCTTCTGTTCCGTTTAATGGACTTAAAGATACATTATGGGAGATTAGATAAAGAGCTGGCAGTTCTCACTATAATGGTTAAAAATTAGATAATGTAAAGGGAATTTGCTGAAAATTTCAGTCAAATTGATCCACTATGAACTGTGATTTTAGCGATTGAATATTCGGCTGAGCCTCGATCATCATTACTAAAGTCGGTGCAATAAAAAACATAGTCTCGATTATCCATTTTATTATTAAATTATGAATGGAAGTCGAACAGCAAATCGAAACCTAATCCAATAAACATCGCAGGCTAGCCATGACATCAAGAGTTGATTATGATCTGGATAAGTTAATTAATGTCTAATTAAACATACATTATGCAAGAGCTAAATCTGTCTATTGCAGGTCTTTCGTTAGGCCTAAATTATTTATTAGACATTAATTAACTTATCTAGACCATAATCAAGTCTAGATGGCCTCGCTAGCCTGCGATCTTAAGTGGATTGTGAGCTGATTTACTGCATAACTTTCCTTCTCGATTAAACGATTAAATTGATAATCGAGACTATGCTGTTTATCGTACTGACTTTAGTAATGAAGACCGAGGCTAGGCAGGAATTTCATTCGCTTAGTTTTCGGTTCATAGTGGATCAATTTGAATGAAATTTTCAGCAAATTGCCTTTACGTTAACTAGTTTTTAACTATTATAGTGAGAACTGCCAGCTCGTTATCGAATCTCCCATAATGTCTAATTAATAATTTATATAACATTTAAGGCCTAAAGAAAGACCTGCAATAGGCAGATTTAACTCTTGCATAATGTATGTTTAAACTAGAACTATTTCTTATGTTTAAGTAAAGAGATGAGTCTTTGGTCTCTTTTGAATTCTACAATAGTTCCTTCTTCTTTCACATGTTGAGGTAGCTTGTTCCACAGGACTGGTCCTGCTATAGAGAAAGCCCTATCATCACACGATACAAGATTTGTTCTTGGAATATCAAGTTGTTGTATATTTGACAACCTGTTGTTTTTTGATGGGATTTTATTTGAATAAGGTCCTAGAGATAGCTTGGAGCTGTGGCATGAAGACATTTGTATATCAACAGTAAAATCTTAAATTCTACATGTTTCCTCACTGGTAGCCAATGAAGTTCCATTAGAATTGGTGAAATATGATCATGAATTTTGGTTTTATTATACAAATATTTAGATTTTCGTATTTAATTCCTATATCAGCTTCTAGTTCACTTCAGTAATATTCCTCAACAATAACCTCCCTTCGTTCATACAATAGAAAACGAAATCGAAACATTCCATGATATTTTAAAATTACATTGGTTGTTTAAGCACTCATAAAAAGACATAGCCAATTTCCGTGTATTATCATGTCTGATTTGGTGTACATGACCGTTGACATGTATTTCTTCCCAAAATCAACCATTTTACTGGTTATTTTGTTGTCAGCATATTCAATTATATTATTCATTTTAGATATATAAGCAGCATATTGAATTAATACTACCCATTATAAATAGAAGCAGCATAGTAAATGATAATTACTTTTTAATTTTGATACAAGTATATGATATTAACCTACCCAAAGTTGATATGACAAAAAACTTGCGGGCAAAGCCCAAGTGTTCTCTATCATATCAATCCGAGGGAGAGAAGGTTTATATCTGACATATAAAACGTCATAGTTTTAATCACTCTTAAATTAAATGGACTCTTCCATTAAAACTCAACAATGATTGGATAATTGCTCAATAGTTTCCACCAAATAACGAAAATTACCGAATTAATCATGTGAATGCACGGGTGTGTTCTTGTTTATACCTTGTCGCCATTTCAGAGTAAATATAGGTTCATTTGAATTGAACGCAAAAACAAAGTGGATAGTAATACGTTATCGGACGAATAATCAGAAAACAACAGATTGACAATGGAATAGATGTGAATGCAAATTCCGACATAAGGCTGAAGAAAATTTGGATCAAAAGGCAATTTTGTCCCACAATTATGACAGTGAACCTTGAAGGTTTACGGTATGGTCAGAGAAGGATTTTACCGACTGTGTTAAGTGGACTGTACCCAAAAATACTTTACAAAGGAACTCTTGGACTATAAATACTTTACAAAGAAACTGTTGGGCTATAAATACTTTACAAAGGAACTCTTGGGCTATAAATACTTTACAAAGGAACTCTTGGGCTATAAATACTTTACAAAGGAACTCTTGGGCTATAAATACTTTACAAAGGAACTCTTGAGCTATAAATACTTTACAAAGAAACTCTTTGGGCTATAAATACTTTACAAAGGAACTCTTGGGCTATAAATACTTTACAAAGGAACTCCTGGGCTATAAATACTTTACAAAGGAACTCTTGGGCTATAAATACTTTACAAAGGAACTCCTGGGCTATAAATACTTTCAAGCCTTATAGTGTGTGGAGAAATAATCGAAATGTGGATGAAAAGAAAATTCATTTAATTCGTGATTTCTGCGTATTGTCTTGTCTGTAGATTTGTTTTGTGTAAATTATATGTGGTGCAGTCCTCCTGCACTTACTATTAGACATGGATAACCGATCTAAATATGCTAATAAGTATGCCGCCTATTTCGGTGCTGAATGCTACAAACTGTAACATAACAATTTTTAATTGTCAAAAGAATAAAATTTTATTTGTGTTCTTTGTATTATTTCGCTCATCAACGTCATTAGCGGTTGATATGAACCGAATATATCAACCTATGGTGACGTCATGACAGGTTGATATGGGATATAACTGCTATACACATCAAAGAAAAAAAACTACCACCAGTTGTATATATAACTTTAAGTCCCTCAACGTCATTTGAGGTATTTTTAATCCCATGCAAACTAGAATATTGTGATTAAAGAAATATTAATCTTAAAATGGTTTGATTCCAATCGGTATTGCCCATTTTATCTTTGTCATCTATATAAATAAAATAAAAATGTGTATGTATATTCACCCATCACGCTTAGTTGCCGTCTTCCACCCCCACATATGTGGTATCAAAGAGCATAACCCTGTAAATGTTTTAAGCCATCAAATTTGGGCCCTTGGTGAATGACGCTTCATCACTGTCTCAACCCCTACATGTGATATCAAATTAACCAGCAAATTTGGGCCCTGGGAAAATTTGGGCCCCGGACAAATTTGGGCCTGGACAAATTAGGGCCCCTTGCAAATTTGGGCCCAGAGTGAATTTTGAACCCTTGCGAATTTGGACCTCAGGTATCCTGCTAGATACTGATAAAATTCTGTTGGATACGTACATCAGACTGTCTATTTGATATGTATCTCACGGTAATGTCCGAAATGAAATGGGTTTTACCTTGAGTATTTTTAACTGTTTAACGTCCTACTTTTCCTAAAAAGTCATTAAAAAATAAATAAATATCTATAAAAACATATATATAAAATATGAATATCCAATATATCAGTGAAAATGAATAAATATATATAATATCAGTCAAACCAGTAAAAATATAAATATTTATGAAACCAGTAAAGTAAGAATACCTATAAACTAGTGAAATATAGACATAATTAAAAGAACCAAAACATCATATGATGTCATATAACGACAGTAGCATTCATAACAGAAAGTATAAAACAAAGCTGTTATTAATACAACAGGTCATGAGGCTGTCATAAACGAATGTTATGTGAGTGATAGAATAGACATTTTAATAACAAATTTGATATGGTTTATTTTTGATACAAGGTGACTTGCATAAACTGTCATTTAAATCTTATTATTAATAAAAGCAAGCTTTGTGTATCTTCATCATATCTTGGAGTAGGGCTAGATCTATTTGTTAAGGCCAACTCAAGATTTCCTCAAGGTCGCTGAGATGTATCTAAGGTTAGGGCACGTGATTGGCGAGATTGTAGATTAGGTTTAAGAATTTGGGGGAGAGGTTAAGTCTCCACATAAGCACTGACCTAGGATGATGAAAAATTAGTTCATGATATTTCCTAGTTTTATTAAAAATACATACAATACATTAGATTTATATACAAAGGCGTTTTCACTGTTTTTTGGTGTAGGTGGCACTGATATCTTACTTGGATGGTGCTTCTGGTATTCTGGTATTATTGTTTCTGAAGAAAAAAGAAAATAAATTTGAGGCTCTCGGGAGAGAGCCACATTAGTGTGTTTCCTACTACGAATTGGATTTTCTAAAAAAATCGTGTTTGTTCCACATCACCAGGTTAAGGCTAGGGATTCTTATATCTAGTTGATTTTATTTACTAACGGTTAAGGATAGGATTTGATATATGGTTTGTTTTGGGTTAGGGTGGAGACTGGTCTTATTTAATCTAATTTACTGTGCACTAGGTTGTTGTTCAGATTTTTATTTTTAGAATATGCAATTATAAGTTTCTGTGTGAATATTTTCGGGTGATTTTCTTGGAGATCAGTATAGTGTTTTCTGATGATTTTGGATGCACTTGCTGCTGTTGCGCTAAACGGAGCTACAAAAGGGGCTATTGTGCTAGCCCTGTTTACATCTTGTGACCTTTGACCAGACTTGAAGTTAGCCTTATGAAATAGACCTAAGACCTGGTGTAGATTATTTAGATACAAGAGTGTTGTATAACCAGGCCTATTATTTCAGTGATATTTATTAGACCTGACTAGCGATGAAATTTATCACCTGGAGAACGTACCATAAATTTAGAATTTTAAAGATTTTTACTTTAAAACAAAAATAAATACAGTTAAATTTCTGATTTGATGATCCTTAATAAACAAATTACCGGTGTGTCAAAAATTGATGGACTGACAATATTTTGAAGTGAAATCTCTGATCAGAACTGTTCTACCATAATCACTATACAATTTAGTTTTGTAGATATACAAATTATGGAAGCTGTAATTTAGCCCAATATGATTAATAGGTAGGGGGTGTTATGTATTTTAATTATTGCTGATTTACGAGGCTCATTTTGATTAATATTGATTAATGTTTTATTTTTATTAATGTTTTAATTGTAATTTTGATTAATGTTTTATTTTGATCTTGCATAATGCATGTTTTATAGAGTGGAGGGGGAAGGTATTTTAACCCTTGTTGGTTCACGTTGTGAGAATCACATAGCAGGTATCAAGGGGTCCATATGGACCCCAGTTATAATTCAAAGTTTTTACGTACAGATATATTTGAATTAAAAGGCAGCGGTTTAGTTTTTATTTGTATTCATATTTGACAACTGAAAAACAACTAAATTATTATACAAAAACATTTTAGTGACATTTGGAAAAGATTTAATAATTCTCACAAAATTGCTACTTTGTGTACTATGTGATAAAGGGGTTAAATGGCAATTCACGCTTGATACAAAAACCATTGAATATTTGGAATTCATCATTTAATTTTTGATATTTGTAACATGTAGATGTTAAAAGAGAGAATACTCTGGCATACACAATATGGTATCAGGCAGCAAAAACATTAGCAAAATCCCTTCAAGCGTTGGGCCTGATTTGCATGTAACATAACTCTGCATGTGGGAAGCAGATGAATACCGAACTCTTCGCTACATGTAAAAATGTATAGGAAACAAAGTCACTAAATTTCAGAAAGCAGTGCCCAATAGTTATTACAAAACATTATAAAACATGTGCATTGGGTCCATGGAGACCCCACGTGCACCGACAAGGGTTAATTATTGCTGATTTATAACGTTCATTTTGATTAATTTTGATTAATGTTATAATTGTAATTTTGATTAATGTTTTATTTAGGTCTTGCATAATGCATGTTTTATAATTTATAAATGACATTTTTAGTTGATTCTTTGATTGAAGCACACGAAAACCCGTTGTTGCATGGGTGAACACTGAAATCTTGAAGGCCATAGCAAACTCTTATAAAAAACATACTGGAAATCAGTATGGTTTGTGCCAGACAGACTGTGACCCACGAGAAATAAGCCATAATATGAAGAGTCATAATCAATCATTAATATTATTTGATGTTTTCAGTTTAATAACCTTCACAGAATTTCTAGAAACAGTGATAGATCGACAAGGCGATACCAGAGATATTTATGATGAAATTTTAAAGGGTTTTAAAATGTTTGATATTGGTAAGTTTAAAATGTTTGATATCGATAAGTTTTAAAATGTTTGATATCAGTCGATAAGTTTAAAATGTTTGATATCAGTCAATAAGTTTAAAATGTTTGATATCAGTAACTTTAAAATGTTTGATATCAGTAAATTTAAAATGTTTGATATCAGTAACTTTAAAATGTTTTTAAATGTTTGATATCGATAAGTTTAAAATGTTTGATATCAGTAACTTTAAAATGTTTGATATCAATAAATTTGAAATGTTTGATTTCAATGAATTTTAAATGTTTGATTTCAATGAATTTTAAATGTTTGATATCAGTAAGTTTAAAGTGTTTGATATCGGTTAGTTTATAATTAAAATGTTTGATATTGGTTAGTTTAAAATGTTTGATATTGGTTAGTTTAAAATATTTGTAAATTTTAAATGTTTGATATGGTAAGTTTAAAATGTTTGATATCAATAAATTTGCAATGTTTGATATCAGTAAGTTTTAAATGTTTTATATCAGTTAGTTTAAAATGTTTGATATCGGTTAATGTTTGATATCGGTTAGTTTAAAATGGTTGATATCGATATATTTCAAATGTTTGATATCGGTTAGTTTAAAATAGTTGATATCAGTTGGTTTAAAATGCTTGATATTGGTTACTTACACATTATTGATATGGTTAGAAATGAATTGAAATAGGGTTTAATGTCCTACTGTTCTGCACCGACAGGGCTAATGAAGACGGGCATATGCTATACAGCCTGGACAGCGGCAGAACTGCCTATTCTTATTTCGAATTCCAACTGTCACTGGACCACGGTTTTTCTTACAATCTGAAGGACTATACGCTGTCCCTTGCTAGGCCCTCCGTCCTGCACCACTGACAAGGGAGTACCATGCCCAAAAATCCTGATGAACACACGGATCGAACACAGACCTCCAGGTTAGCAAGTCAACGTCTTACTCACTTAGCTATCGTGGATTCGGGTATGTTTAAAACGTCAGCTAAGTGGGAATGCCCCTGGATAACTAACTACAAGGTCCCTGTCACAGTATTGGCCGACAAAAGTTCCTTATCAGTGGTACAGTATGAAAAAGCATCTAGTTGTTCAGATGGTACAAAAAAATCAAGGTCTTGTGTACACATTGGTGGGTACAATCCTTGGCAGATGGAATCAAAGAAGAATCGGCTGAATGGCCACTGTCCAAATATATTGTAACAATGTTTTGTGTTTTATTTTAGATGAAACTGGTTCCATTTCAATTGATAATTTAAGAATAGCTTGCCAGGATACAGGACTGAAATTTACTCAGAAAGATTTAGAAGAAATGATCGTGGAAGCTGACATAAATGGCGATGGTTTGATTGATCAGTCTGAATTTATACGAATTATGTTACAGACCAATCTCTTTTAGATTTAAGATGCACTGATTGTCATTGAAGGGAGTGTTAGTTAATCCCTAAGGTCTGGCACAGGGCCGTATTTAGCGGGGGTGCAGGGGGTACATTGCACCCCAGAAAAATAATGTGCCCCCCACCCCATCCAAAAAAACAAAAATTATTTGACAATCTTTCAGTTATAAAATAATACACTTGATTATGATCACACAGTGATGCTCTTAAGGCACTGATCAGTCGATCGGTTTTAAGGGCGCCCACATGCCAATGGGTTCATTTGCCCTGATCGAAACTTTCTTATATCACATACGTGGAGGCTATGGTGCCCCACCACTCTGCTGCACCCCCACTTTTAAAATCCTACATACGGCCCTGGTCTGGCAAACTACAATAAAATGAAGATAAGTCTGAAAATGTTGTATTTCCACTCAGTATTCACAAAAATATGATAAATTGAGAACCTCCTTTGAACATTGGGTAAAATGTTTTGATCATCCTCTTTTTCCTCCAATTTAAGCCAGGAGATTATCTATAGTGGATATTTTGGTTTTGTTTTGTAATAAAATGTTGTATACTGTGGCAGTAGAATGGCTTGTCTATGTTTTGTAATAAAATGTTGAATACTGTGGTAGTAGAATGACTTGTCTATGTATTGTTTGGCTGCATTGTCTCAATCAGATCATGTTGGATTATACCTGGATATGTCTTTTAAACTAGGGGGGTTGGATGGCCGAATGGTTAGCACATGCGTGCTGTATCATAAAGCCTGTCATTGAGTCAACTGGCGTGGTTTCGAATCCCCGGTTGTACGTGACAAGGAGTAGGGTTGCCTGTCCAACCTCAGGGGTTTTCTCCGGGTCCTCCGGTTTCCTCCCACTGCTAAAGACCCCTATGCGCAAGCAAATTATTGAAATAAAATTAAACCATATGTTAGTCCCGAAATGACCTAGTTTGTGTCGAGTGGACGTTAAACCCGATTTCTTTCTCTCTCGTAGATGGAACAATGGTGTTGGATTTACCTATATGCTTGACTGACTGAAGCCTAGGGCCTCAATATCTTAGAAGCCTCTGTATATGGTGTACAATATGTTTGACACTGTCATAAACCTTTCTTACACACACTGTAGTATTAAACATCCTTCATCATGTTAAGTTTTTATACATCAGGGAACAAACCACTGTGGCTCTCAAATAAAATAACAAATAATCAAAATATAATATTTTTTATTATATCAATCTTAGTGTGTTAAATATGAATAAACAAATATTAAACTCTTGTCATAAACAACAAAATCAACATTTTATCATATAACTTCTCTATAAACCTACAACAACTTCATTTGTCTCATGGTTATAATAATTTCATTCTGAGTACAGAAAATTGTAAAATAAACCACAAATCATTAATATGGTCAAATTAATAATAAGGTTTTTCACAAACTTATATTTTGAAATTTAGCATCAAATTCCCTATTCGTCGTAATATGATATAAGGGGCTGAATGTAAAAAAGGGAATCCAGATTCGTATATTGACCAATAAATCTCACCCTTAGTAAGTGGCAATGTGCGTTAAAATTCCTTATACATTAATAAAACTGATTACAGTAAAACAGCATCTGATTACGGTAAAACAGTGTCTGATTACAGTAAAACAGCATTTGATTACAGTAAAACAGCATCTGATTACAGTAAAACAGCATCTAATTACTATAAAATAGCATCTGATTACGGTAAAACAGCGTCTGATTACAGTAAAACAGCATCTGATTACGGTAAAACAGCATCTGATTACAATAAAACAGGAATATTGAGATCAACATACGTTTACTGAGACATACTTCATCATAAAGCTTTTATTTCAAAATGAGTTTAACAAAACAATTAGCCTATCTAATACGGTTCAGCAGTTTCAATTTCAATATTGCTTTTTCTTTGCCACATTTACTACGCAGCAACGTACATGGGAACATGTCAGGTCTCCCAAATATGCCTACCAGCAGCAACGTTGCCTGTTCTCCTTTAAAATAAATGTCAACAAATCCTACAGGCAAAAAACACACTGAATGAACGTCCATTTGTTCGCTCATCGGGCTTAAAGTCCTCATCCCCTGATGGTGATATCACAGACAACACTGAATGGAAAGATAACTCCTCACCACAGTCCACATGAATTTGAAAAGAATCCATTAAAAACTCCGACTTCTTCAGAAATCGCAAGAATTCTTGACATACTTTTCTAACAACTTTTTACCCTTGCTCATTACTTAATAAATGAAATTAAAGAATATTATCTTTACTTAAAATAACCCTGGATGGGATTAACATTGAAGATCGTCCCAATATAGTTTAATAGATAGATGACAACCTATGTATTATGAACAAAATTACGTGATAAAATAAATATCGGTCAACTGATGTTCGGATAAATGTCATTGAGGAATAGTGGTGAAAATATATTCTGATCCATGGATTGAAAAATGACAACACAAGATGGATCAACAACAAACTTTCAAGATCACTAAAACAAGGGGGTTAAATAAAAATCAAGGGAGAGAATTCACTACTAAGTTCTCTTATTTTAATACACCTAGGGGGTACTCGATTGAACGTTTTGGAATTGAATTCTCTCAATCCCCCAAAATAGTCACAATCAAGTGAAATGGGGTATTTTGGGTTACAACGTATGCGTTGACTGAATAAGAAAATATCTCAACCATCATGCAGCCGAAACATATTGGTTGTGTTTAATTATGTCACGATTCTACTCAGACCAACTCTGTTGACGGGACTGACAGAACTGTGATAGGAATGAATTGCGCGTCACTCGTTTGCAATTCTGTCAATTCGGTACTGGAATGATGCATTATTTTCTGGTATGACTGACTATAACTGGCCTTTATAACCTATTAAATATTATAAATTAAATACATGTTATTAATATAAGGAATACAAATTCTTGGTTAAATTCTGTTATCATTTGGTTATGTTTTTTTACAGCCATTTATATCAGTCATTTTTAGGAAAAAATAACAATTTTACACACATAGGTTACATAAAGTAAAATAATGGGACTGATAAATAATAAACATTTCAGAATATTTTTCCACGAAATCATAATCAAATTGTATGCTATTATTTTCCACAAAATTTTGGAATATCCAACATTTTAAAGCAATGTTTAAAGAACATTTTAAGTACATCTATTGCAAATCTTAACATTTTTAAAAAGTACAAAAAAAAATAAAATTATAAATAAAGAACTACAAAAACCAAGCCTATTGGTTTCAGTGACTTAAATCAGAAAGACAATAAGATAATTATGTACATATGTATGGTTAGTAGGTAAATTTGAATTATATATAATATATACAGAAGATATATGTACATATGGTTCTCTACACCGCTATTGTCTGAACACTATCACAGACTTCTAGTACATGGATTACCTTCAAGTTTCTGATCATCATGCAAGGCAACAACAATACCGTGAAAGATGAAAAAGAATATTTGTACAATGAACTTGGTAGCAGCTTATAAGAAATTGTTTAATTAAAAATTCTACTTTGAGCAAAAATAATGACAAAATATGTTTATAATTAAAGAGTATGCTTATATGACTGCAAGCGTATCTCATGATAAAAAAAAAAACATCTGATAAGTGTCATTTACCAGTAGTTCTAGAGGTGATCAAATTTTTCCTAACCGTATTTTAATAATAAAATTTCATTCAAAAACTATCTACAAATATATATTTAAGTAGATAAAGTACAAGTACTTCTATGTTTACGGTAATATATATATATTCTAATCTAATTATCATATTTTAAAATAAATATAATTTATTAGTTCGAGTATTTCCACTACAAAATGTATTGAACATCACTGGGTTAACATAAATATAATTTATTTGTAAAATGGGATATAGGTTTACATATTCTTTTTCTGATTTTTAATTTTAAGTAGATAAACATTATCTATATGATATTCCATTTATAGAAATAAACAATTCATAATAATCTGATCGTCATTGTTCCAAGGATTTTTAATCCCTTGCCAATTACTATGTTGTGAAATATCAACAGAGAAAACCCACAAGGTTGGACAGGCAACCCTACTCCTTGTCATGTACAACCGGGGAATCGAAACCCCACCAGTTGACTCAATGACAGACCCTTTGATGCAGCGCAGCGCACGTGCTAACCATGAGAGAGAGATAGGGTTTAACATCCACTATATCTTCAAACAGTCATGAGAGTAGAGGGAGAGAGAGAGAGAGAGAGATGGGGTTTAACATCCACTATATCTTCAAACAGTCATAAATTTGCCCAGAATAAAGTAATTTGAATGAAAATTTCAATATATTTCATTGTCGATTTATGAACTATTATATATATCTCTTTATCTACATCTATAAATTAAACATACATTATGCAAGAGCTAAATCTGCCTGTTGCAGGTTTTTCTTTAGGTCTGAAATGTTTTCTAAATTATTAATTAGCCATATTTTAATTTAATTTCAAAATGGAGGAGCGAGACTTAGCATCGAACAACTAGTACTGTGGTTGCAATTATTACACACATCTTGTCAAACCTTTAAAGACTAATATCTTTACTCACAATAGAGTAATTGGAATAAAATTTTCAATATTTTCATTTTACATTAGCTATTTTTGAGCTATTAAAGCAAGAATGGTCATCTCTTTATCTACATCTTACATAATGTATCTTTAAAGGCTCAATACCACTCTTGTTGTAACTGAATAATATGTCCCAATCTTTATTCTGGTCAACAAATTGTACTATTTTACAATATTCCAATTAATTGATGATACAAATTTCATCTTAACACACCTAATTTAAAAAATTCAACTAAATGATTTGAAAAGCCTGACATAAAGCTTTTCAAATGTTACTTGGATTTAAAAATATTTTTGAACCCTTTGGACAAGTAAAATAGGATTAAATGGATAATTTACACAACAGGTAGGACACTAACACATCTAGTACTTAGAATAAGGCTATTTTTTATTTTCTGGAGCTGTCAACCCAGCAAGAGTGTTATTGTCCCTTTAAATATTAAACAACCACACTTGAGTACATTTCAGCCCTGATTAACCCGTGGATAATTTAGAAACAAATGACGATCAACACAGTTTCACAGACCCATTTTAGCACTGATTAACCTGTAGATAATTTATATGCAAACAACGACCAGAAACTTCAACCCACAGTTTCACAGTCTCAGTTTAAATCAATAAAATAATAAATGAATAAATTTATTTACATGTTTAATGTGTATTGTACGTCATTTATTTATATAAAGAGTATTACTGCTATAATTATTCATATAGTAATATTTACAACAAGACAAATTTGTTTCTTTGAGGTTGAACTTTTAAATTTTAACTCCACAAAAATTCAAACGATTGTAAAAACAGTGTTAATTTGCCTGAGGTTACAAAACGAGATTGTGGGCCAAAACAAAAAAGAAGAGAATCATTTAGTTTGTAAATGTTAGGCCACATCAATGGGGAATATTTGTTAAAACATTCCTTCTAATTTCTTCGGCAACAATACTTATATTTAAAAACAAAAATATATTTAGTTGCATTGTTCAAAAGCTTTAAATTCCAGATTTTTATATTTTGAAATTTAAAATAAAACATCTTTCATATGATTCAAGTGGCCATTTATTTATCAAGACTGACTCCATAGAGATGAAAATAAAATTGGTTTGGCCTTATCAAATTTCTCAAGTTACACAATTTAACAGATGATATGTTATAAAAGTGAAGTATCATCAAGTACAGTATGCAGTTTAATTGACAATACATAATAAATATCTCAGCCTATCAATCAAAATCAAAATACCAATCAGGTTATTTTTGTCTGTTTATGTAAATCAGCTTGATATAGTCCTATTATCATGAAAAATGTTTGTTTTATTATGCTTGTATGCACAATTTATTTATTTTCTATGCAAATTTCTGGGTTAAACGATATACGAGGCTAACAAATTTCGTGACTGAATAATTGTATCAATTTTTTTTTTTTTTTTGACACAATAAAAGTCTGAACAGGTGAAATCAAAAGCCCTATTTATTTCACTTATTGAAAACATGTATGTAAATGCCCCTGGAAAAGCGATATTTAAGCATTTCAGACGAAAACAATAAATTCTAAATTTAAATACTGGTAAATAACTGGAGAAGACTTAAAGGACACGACATGGATTCTATTTCTTAGAATATTTAAAATGTCTATAAAATGAAAGATTCCATGGTTAACATGACAAATGATTCTCTATATCCGTTCTCGGACAAGATATGGATTGGATTCTATTCTTAGAATATTCAAAATGTCTATAAAATAACAGATTCTGGATATGGATTGGATTTTATTCTCAGAATATTCAAAATGTCTATAAATTAACAGATTCCATGGTTAATATGAAAAATTGATTCTCTATATCCTTTCTCGGACAAGACATGGATTGGATTCTATTCTCACCATATTTAAAATATCTATAAAATTAAAGATTCTGCGGTTAATATGACAAATGAATATCTATATTCTCGTAATTGATGATGTTACGTTACTGTTAATTGTGTAGATTTCGGGAGCATTATGCTGTGGAATGTACTTGGGTTGCTGCTGTCCCAACACTTTCGCTCTGTGTCGGTCTTCAGCACGCTGCTTTTTCTCCATTTTCTTTAATTCTTTTTTCTGTTTTGAAGACAGTTGCTGAAAAGCAAAATCATCTACGTAATTATAAAGTTTCTAATTGTGATTTGAGTGAACTTGAATCCCTACAATGTTGTGAAAGCTTAATCTTGAAGGAGAGAGAGAGAGAGAGAGAGAGAGAGAGATGGGGTTTAATGTCCACTCACACAAACTAGGTCATTTTGGGACTAACATATGTTTTCTTTTTAAAATTTCATTTCAATAATTCGCTTGGGCATAGGGGTCTTTAGCAGTGGGAGGAGGAAACTGGAGGACCCGGAGAAAACCCACGAGGTTGGACAGGCGACCCTACTCCTTGTCACGTACAACCGGGGAATCTTAATCTTGAAGGAATATCATGCCAAAAATGGTTTAATATTCCATTCAGTATTTACAAACACATGATGAATTGAAATCTGTCAACATTCAGCATCATCCACAGATGATATAAATGGGATATGGTCAAAAGGAGTTATGGCACCATCTAAAATTTTGCTATAATCTTTTGATGGGCCTCTATTTAATCCCTCTAAAACCAAGCCGAGAGATTATCTACTGATGATATTTTTATTTTGTTTTGTTAATTAGAAGTTAAATAATCCAAATGAGTACAATTTAAACGTGGACTAGGGCGTGAAAAATTAGATATAGTTCGACAAATGTTAACGAGGATCAGCAGTTTTTCATCCCATCCAAATGACTAGATACTGTTCTTGCACCAACAGGGGGGTTGGATGGCCGAATAGTTAGTGCATGCGTGCTGTATCATAAGGTCTGTCATTGAGTCAACTGGCGTGGTTTAGATTCCCCATTTCTACGTGACAAGGAGTAGGGTCGCCTGTCCAAACTCGTGGGTTTTCTCCGGGTCCTCCAGTTTTCTCTCACTGCTAAAGACCCCTACCCCTAATATCTCTCTCTCTCTCTCTCTCCCTCGCAGGCCTTGATTTAACTGGGCCTGTCCAACATCAACCTCTCTCTCTCTCTCTCACACACAAAGAGGAACCACACTGTCTTGATAATCACCAAGATCGAACCTAGAACCTCCTGGTTAGGGAGTGAGTGCATTACTCATTAGCCCGGTTGGTGCAGAAAGTACCCTTTTTCATTTTACACTCAGTACTGTAAGGGAGATAACTAGATTAATTACATCACCTTGATATCTATTTTAGGAATAGCTCCACCTGGTTAGTGAGCCAGCGCTTTACTCATTCACCCAAGTGGTGCAGAACAGTAGGACATAAAACCTGATTCCATTTCATACTAAGTAAAGTAAGGGAGGTAACTAGATATATTAACTTTACCTTGATATCTTTTTTAGGAATGGCTCCACCTAATGATCTATTGCTACTAATTGAACCATAACCGGAACTACCTCCATAACTATTATCCCTGAAATGTACTGGTTGTGTCTGACACCGTGAATGATCGTCACCGAATATCCTGGTCGCTGTTCCACTTTCTGACCATATACCACTGTCCGTAGACGTTCGTTGTGATGCGACAGAACTGGTATCTTCTTCAACTATTTAAAAATAAAGCATCTCATTCAATGGGAATTGTCAGTGCTTCATAAAGACAAGAGAACTCTATTCGAAACGTCACAAGGTGCTGGAGAAGGGTGTCCTAAACCATGCTCTTTTATTTTTTCCTGAAACACCTCTGCCAAAGTCCCCCTGCGCATTATCTACACATGCGCCTAATACACCGAAAAATACAATAAACAGTAATTGTTGGAATCAATTCTTGGTGTTATTTCTAAAGAATTTCTGTCTCACTTTTCATGCCAGTTGGTAACATTATGAAATTATCTATTAAGATGTCACCCTTGGAGTACAAAAAATGTAAAATTGTTATTGTCGTGGTGGTGATAAAATCTGTAGTGATGAAGGGATACGAGACCTTATGAAATAAAAGCTAATTACATTTTATGATTATCCGGGACTGATTACACTATGGTGCATCGTATTGAGGCTTGTGTGGACGAAATCCGTCATTCGATACGTGACAAATATGATCGAATTGAACAATGGAAAGATGGAAGTTCTATGACTTTCATCCCGCTTTAAATAATGTGAACAAAACGGTGATGAATCTTCAACAACATATATGTAAGGGGAGATAACTCTAGTTACTGACTATAAAAATATCTGATAAGACCATTTTATTCAATTGTCAATAAATGGGGTTGATGTTGGATTTTGAGAATCAAGTGATAATCAACCCCTGAAACAATACCGAAAATATTCCTGTCCCAATCCATTTCAGCGTAAAAAATCAATTGAGATAAACCTGGGCCCTTATTCACGAAAACTTAAACTAAGATACAATCGAAATTTTACGAAATACTGCAATTCAATTGGCTGACCAGTAAAATCAATTTGCATATATCCAATTTGCATATTGGTCAGCCAATCGAATTGCAGTATTTCTTAAAATTGCGATTGTATCTTAGTTTAAGTTTTCGTGAATAAGGGCCCAGAGCTCTAAATATGTTATGGTAAAAGTGTATAATGATACTCCCTGCATTGACCGAGAAAGTTCATCCAGATTTACCGGCGTGGTTCCCCCTTGTCAATGGAACGAAAAACAGAGGTCCCATCTATACACTGGCATGCATGTTAATGATCCCGTGGCAATTGGAATTCGATATAAGAGTAGGACAGTAGTGCCGCTGCCCGGGCAAAATTTCCCACATAGCACACTGTATGGCGTATGCCCATCTTCATTAGCCCAGTTCGGAGCAGAATAGTAGGATGTTAAACCCCATTTCATTTCATTTTATTACACATCACAATCCAATTCAGTATGAGCGACAATCTGATTAAAACACAGATCCAATTTCGTTTCGTTTTTATAGTTCAAAATTTCGATTTTACTTGTCTTTACTACACTTGGATCTGGAAGCATTGTTATTTAACGCGTGTTCTGCTTGAAATCAAATGGTCTGTCGAATCAAGCGTTTGACTTTTTTGGCGCAGAACTGTGGGTAGACATTTGCGGCAATAGAAATCAAAACAAAGCAAAAGTAGATAAAAAATACATGGCGGTCGATAATTGGTTAATCGAATGACTGACGTAATCGGGTCAAATGTCGCTTGCTTGGTACCTGACGTCGTAGAACATGAACTCACACTATAACTTGTTAGATCTACATGTAGTGTAGGCCATCGAAAATATAAAAAACGGAACGAAATATAGATCTATATTTTAATTAGATTGGTATGAGCGATTAACCAGAGAATAAAATCATCTCTAGCACTAGCTTATATTGAAATACTTACCATTACCAATGTCCATTATTTGTAAGAGATTGGCTATAGCTAAATCGGAATCATATTCACAATCTTCTAATATTTCTTTTACTTGATTTAAATCCTGTAATTTATATAACATTTATACCATATTAAAGGCTCACTACCACTCTTGTTGTAACTGAATAATATGTCCCAATCTTTATTCTGGTCAACAAATTGTACTATTTTACAATATTCCAATTAATTGATGATACAAATTTCATCTTAACACACCTAATTTAAAAAATTGGAAAAATTCAAGTAAATGATTTGAAAAGCCTGACATAAAGCTTTTCAAATGTGACTTGGATTTAAAAATATTTTTGAACCCTTTGGACAAGTAAAATAGGATTTAATGGATAATTTACACAACAGGTAGGACACTAACACATCTAGTACTTAGAATAAGGCTATTTTTTATTTTTTGGAGCTGTCAAGCCAGCAAAAGTGTTATTGTCCCTTTAATTTATTCCTTAATTTAAATTTGAATCAAAAAAGAGATGGAATAATTATGTCTAAAATTATATCGTCTTTATAAAGAGACAACAAATTTTCCTGACCCTATTCAGAAATCCAAACAAATTATTTAAAATTTATGTACATGTACGACAGGGGAAGCACTGAACACATATAATTTCAACCACAAAGCAATAGTACCGGTAGCCACATTTCAAAATAAAACACAATATAAGAACCAAAATAATTTGTTTTGGATTTCAACAAGTCAGTAAATAAATCGCTGGAAACTAAAAATTGAAAACACATAATAAAAATAGTCATTGAACAGTGACCACATTTCAAAACCAACCACAATATAAAGGTAAATAAAGCGAGCAAATATTTAAAACATATCATTTTACAAGATAATAAAAATATTGTCAATAAACGCTGAAAAAAATAACAATTATCATACCGTACAACCTGAAGCTACCATTACTTCACGTTCAATATCTTCTATACTTCTGATAGCTGCTGCCATTTTGTTACCATGGTGATCAGAATAACCATTAGAGTATACATGTTTTTCTTTTTCTTCAGTATCCTAAATATATACAAGTTTAAGATGGAGAACAGATACAAATGGCTTGTCATCAATGGCAGAAAAATATCTTACTACATATTGTCTGAAGGGGGAAACACTTACACTACAACTCAGATATATCATGTGGTCATGGCAAGGACCAGTGTCTAGTTGTATCGCATGGGAAGAAAACCGAGGCGGTCCCAAATTCATGTAAAAGAGAGAGAGAGAGAGAGAGAGAGAGAGAGAGAGAGAGAAATGGGGTTTAACGTCCACTCGACACAAACTAGGTCATTTTGGGACTAACATATGGTTCAATTTTATTTCCATAATTCGCTTGCGCGTAGGGGTCTTTAGCAGTGGGAGGAAACCAGAGGACACCGAGAAAAACACGAGGCTGGACAGGCGACCTTACTCCTTGTCACGTACAACTGGGGAATCGAAACCACGCCAGTTGACTCAATGACAGACTTTATTATACAGCGCGCACGTGCTAACCATTCATTCAGCCATCCAACCCCCCTTCATGTAAAAGAATCCTAGACATTTGGAATTTGTTGAAGAATGGGCAGAAATCTGCATGACGTAGACCTTTTTTCATGCACTGCACGAGTTGGTGCAGGAAAGAAGGACGTTAAACTGTATTTCTTTTCTCTTACTGTGAAATAATAAACAGTTTTTATTATGAGCAGGAAATATTTCATAACAATTTATCAGCCATGGGCAATAATCAACAGTGTTTATTATCACCAGGAAATATTTCATAACAATTTGTCAACCATGGGCAATAATGCTTTTCAATTGAGGCCACAACAATTTCATTTTCTGTTCAACGGGAACACCTCTAAAAAACTTCCTTATTTAAAAACCCAAGTTACATGGTTATGCAGTTCAAAAGCTTTTAGTTCCAAATTTGTAAGTTTTTAAATTTTTAACAAAACATCTTTCATATGATTCAAGTGGTTATTTCTTTATCAAGGCCTTCAAGAACATAAAATCAAACTGGTGAGGCCTGAACAATAATAAATGTTTACCTGAAGTTGAATATTAGCTGGTGATTCCGTGTTATCGTTCATTTTACGAACACTAGAATAATGGTCACCATTATGATATGCTATATGTAGTTGTCGGGACTTTGTATTCTTGCTGCCTTGGATCTAAAAATAAAACATATAAAGTCAGCTATTGTATCACGAGAAGTGCCAAAGATAAAGTTTGAAAGTACAACGGGACTTCACTGTAAAGAGAGAGAGAGAGAGAGAGAGAGAGAACTGGGGTTTAACTTCCACTTGGCACAAACTAGGTCATTTCAGGACTAGCATATGGCTTTATTTTATTTCAATAATTTGCTTTCATTTAGGGGTCTTGGCAGTGAGAAAAAAAAACGGAAGACCCGCAGAAAACCCACAAGGTTGGACAGGCGATTCTACTCCTTGTCATGGACAACCAGGGAATCAAAACCACACCAGTTGACTCAATGACATCCTACCCACTTTGTGACACATATGCACTGCATTATAGGGAATATCTATAGTCTATAGTGCTGTACACCAACAAATAAAACTAAGTCAAAAATAAATAGATTTGTCATTCATTCAAATGACCTTCGATATCTATAGAGTCGTATTTTAGACAACAAATTAAAACAAGGCGAAATATAAATAATTTTCATCATTCAGTCCCATGCAATCCAGTCACATCTGCATACATTGTAGATTGGATTTCAGTCAGGTCGGATTTCAATCAGATTGGATTTCTGCACATGTTCATAAAGACGTGTGTTAACAGAGCAAGACGACATTTAGTAGTTACTGCTTGTAAAAAAAATTGTATTCAGTTTAGCATACAATAACAGTAACAGTAAAGTCTAGATATATAAATTAAAAATTATTGTGAAACCTTGAAATGATCTATTTGTGATAAGTAATTTTAGTACACATTACTTTGGCAAAATAAAAACACCCCAAAAAAACTCCCACTTTTTTGGAAGGAATGTCAGAGAACCAGAGCATTAGTTTAAATGACCTTACTAAATATTTAATCATTATTGGTAACGGATAACTTACTAGTATTAATATTTTACCATTATTGGTAACTGATATCTTACTAGTAAAATATTCATCCTTAATGGTAACTGGTAACTTACCAATACATATTTTTTCATTATTAGTAAATATGGTAACTTACCAGTAAAGGTTTCATCATTAAAGCCAACTTATAAATTACCAGTATTAATATTTTATCATTACTAGTAACTAATGACTTACCAGTAGCGGTTTTATCATTAGTGGTAACTATGGTAACTTACAAGTATTAATATTTTATCATTATTGGTACATGTAACTGATAACCTACCAGTAAAGGTATTATCAGTTACCAATAAGGTCTTATCGTTAGAGGTAACTATGGTAACTTACCAATAATGTTGTATAAGTGGTAACTATGGTAACTTACCAATAATGTGGTATCATTAGTGGTAACTATGGTAACTTACCAATAGCATTGTATCATTAGTGGTAACTATGGTAACTTACCAATAACATTGTGTCATTAGTGATAAGTATGGTAACTTACCAATAAAGGTTTATTGCCCAACTGATGAATCATTACATTAACACACTGTAATCTAGCAAACGCTACGATGGCGTCGTTACCAGCATAGGTACCTAACCTTCTGAGGTTCGTAACTGTAATAAAATTTTATATATTTAGGCTACATACATGTAGATCATCAATTTATAACAAAGGAAATTTAAAATAAATATTTCACAAACAACAATATTTTAAGAATTCAGTATTTTCATTGGCTGTGATTAAAATCCTATTAAAAAAAAATGTAGTTTTAGCAAATGAAAGGACAGAATTTTTAGAATACATGTATTTCACAATTTAAGATTTCATATACAGTGTAATTATCAATAAATAAATACATTACATGTTTGCCATGCTAAGATCACCAGTTATTTGTCATACAGATGTGCTAGCTGGGGGTTTTAAAAATCTAACCCAATTTTTCTCTTTTAAATTCAATTAAATTCCTTTTCAAAAATGTTATCAGTCCTTTGCCCAGAAAATGTTTGTCATGCTAAGATCACCAGTTATTTGTCATATAGATATGCTAGCTGGCTGGGGTTTTAAAAATGTAAGCCATTTTTTTTTAAAATTTAATTAAATTCCTTTTTAAAAATGTTATCAGTCCTTGACCTAGAAAACTGCTTACTTACATATAGGTCAACCAAGAGAGAGAGAAATGGGGTTTAACATCCGCTTGAGACAAACTAGGTCATTTCGGAACTAACACATGGTTCAATTTTTATTTCAATAATTCGCTTGCGCGTAGGGGTCTTTAGCAGTGGGAGGAAACCTGGAGGACACGGAGATAAACCGTGAGATTGGACAGGCGACCCTACTCCTTGTCACGTACAACAGGGGAATCAAAATCACGCCAGTTGACTCAATAACACGTGCTAACCATTCAGCCATCCAACCTCCTATAGGTCAACTACAAGTTTCATTTTATTTTTTTTGTTTGACTTTAGACATGTTGTTAAAAACTTAGTTTGAAATTAGTATCAATGATGATACTTTTTCAATCTTTATAAAAATGTTTGCACAACAAGGGTTATTTCATTGCAATTTTGAGAGCCACAGTGGTTCAATGATAGGAATAAAAACAGAGGTCCTGTGTAAATAGCATGCACGTAAAAGAACCCTAGAGAATTCAAATTCGAAATAAGAGCAATATGATGCGCTACTGCCATGGTAAAATTCCCCTCATAGAACACTATACATGTATGGCGAATGCCATCTTTGTTAGCCCAGTCGGTACAGAAAAGTAAATCGATCCCTGCATTGCCCAAGAAAGTTCATCCAGATTTTCAGGCATGGTTCTCCTTTGTCAGCTGTCTAGTGGTTCGAATGGGACGAAAAACCGAAGGCCCATGTACACATTGGCATGCAAGTAAAAGACCCCTTGGCAGTTGGAATTCGATATAAGATCCCTCGGCAGTTAGAATTCGTTATAAGAGTAGGCCGTAGTGCCACTGCCCGGGCAAGATTTCCCTCATAGCACACTGTATAGCTTATGCCCGTCTTCATTAGCCCGGTTCGGAGCAGAACAGTAGGACATTAAACCCCATTTCATTTAATGTTTGCTATATGTGAGATACTAGCAGATTATCTATAGCTAACAAACCATCAAGGTTTCAAAATATATTTCTAAATGCATGCTCTGATAGCAGAGATGGTTTTGTTTCACCCTTTGATGGATGAAACACCAGGAATCTATATAAATGGGGAAATTCTTATTGAAATTTAAGTGTCCTAGTGGCTAACATGAACCCTCATATACTTGTACTGAGAGAGTGAGGGAGAAATTGGGTTTAATATCCATGTAATAAAACTATGTCATTTTATCATACAATTTTATTTTTAATAATATGCTTGCGCGTAGTGGTCTTTAGCAGTGGAAGGAAACGGGAAGACCTGGGATCAAAATCCTGCCACATGACTCAATTACAGACCTTATCATCTAAAGCCCACATATTAGACCAATCAGCCAACGACCCTGAAACTTGTAGTAATACCACTGTACTTACTGTGTGTTTCAAATGGTACATCATCTTCTACAAATGGTTCGAAATCTTTTCGTTCTTTTAACATATAATTAGTGACCTCTATCCTATGTTTATAATGATTCCTACCATGCCCTTCTAACTGATCACCCAGTGCTCGAAATAAACAATTTCTGTAAGAGAAAAACATATTTACTTATATTAGCATCAGGCAAGATGGACCTGCTAACTGATCACCTGGTGCATGAAATAAACAATTTCTGTAAGAGAAAAAAACATATTTAGTTATTTTAACATCAGGCATTACAATCAGTGGAAAGATGGACCTTCGAACTGATCACCCAGTGCACACAAAAAAATAATTTCTGTAAGAGAAAATAAAGAAAATCGCATTGGAATGAAATGAAATAGGGTTTTAAACTCTAAGACGGGATCACAGAGTTTCAGTCTCTTCTTTATCAAATTCTGGGAGCCACAGTGGGTAAGACACTGGCTCTCTTGTCTGGAGGTCATGTGTTGAATCCCTGCATTGGCTGAGAGAATTCATCGGGATTTTCCATCATGATTTCCCCTGGTCAGTGGTGCAGTATGGAAAGTTGTCTAGTTGTTCGGATGGGAAAAAAACCAAGGCCCAGTGAATACATTGCTGTGCATGTAAAAGATCCCTTGACAGTTGGAATTCGATATAAGAGTAGGCCATAGTGGCGCTGCCCGAGCAAAATTTTCCTCATAGCACATTGTATGGCGAATGTCCATCTTCATTAGTCTTGTCTTCGAATCCTTTGTTACAAATGACGATGAAACGCATTATGGTACACAATTCGTGCACCAATGGTCAAATGATTATTTTGTCTTTAAGCCCATCTTTTCACGATAAAATCACAACATCAATGTTGATTTAAATTGACAAATAATTCGTGTTTTCAATGTTAAAGATGATATTGAGTTAGAGACTTAGATACTTTAACAGGAAGTTTTTATTTGAATCATTGGACTGAGGGACACAAAACATTTTAAACTATTTTCCGTCTAAAATTTACACATGTTACAACCATTATTTTACTTGTATATATATATTAATTTAGTATATTTTTATAATGTTATTTCCTAATTAGGCCACACCAATTCGATTTCCTGTTCTTCAGGAACACCTGTTAATATTTTGCTACTTATTTTTTCGGGAAAAAGATTAATTTAAAAACCCAAAGTACTGGAGTCCACCGTTCACAAGCTTTTAGTTTTAATTTTTCAAAATTGAAACAAAACATCTTTTACATGATTCAATTAGCTATTTATTTATCAGAACAGAAAAACTAAAAATCAAATTTGTTTGGCCTTGCTTACATCGAGTAATGTAGTTTGGGTTTTTACTTTATAATATGTGTTTGTTTATGAACGATTTTTAAAATCACCTGACAAATTATGTTTTAAGTGGGCAATCCATCCTAATTAAGTGCAATTAAATACACTAAAGGTGAATCATTGTAACGCTAGGTCACGCTGGTGGATTTAATTTGTGGTTTTATATCTATAGCAGTAATCCTTTAATGTCATGGGTATAATTTGTTCTATAGAATACAGATGTGTTGGTTTACAAGCAAATATTACCCTGAAGACAAATCTTTTCATGTGAAGAGTATAATTTCTCCCATAGTTAACAGATCTTTTGGCTTACAGATAAATTCTGAAACGTAGAAAAAGTCTTATTTGTGTAGGATTTCTCAGAATGGGACAAATCAAATCAGGAGAATTGTAAAATTTATCCGGTAATTAATAGATTTTTTGGCTTACGGTTAAATTCTGAAATGAAATGAAATCGGGGTTCTGTTCTGCACCGCTGGGCCAATGAAGATGGGTATATAGAGAAATTTTGCCCAGACAGCGGTATTACGTAAAGGGTTTATTTACGTGCATGCCAATGTATACATGGAACCTGTTTTTGGTCCCATCCCAATGACTATACATTCTCCCATGCCAGACCCTGAAAATCCTGATGAACTTTCTAGGTCAACTGAGGGATCGAACATAGTACCTCCAGGTGAGCGAGCCAACATCTTACTCACCGCGTCACCATGGCTCCCTGAATAAATTATAAAGTTCTATTCAGTTATACAAAGTGACCAACAATTCTTCTTCTCAAACTACATGTAGCCGACGTTAAACTCAATCAAACCGAAACCAAGATTAAGAAAACTACAGGACTTTCCCTTTAAGATATTTGCCATGCCAGTGTGCCTAAAGCCCATGCTAGAAATGTTTTTCAAGGAGTCAAACTTGCCTACATTATAAAAGTATTTTTGTATTTTCCTATTTGTTAAAACTGTAATTGCAACCAGTATATTTTTTTGTAATTGAATAAAAAGATGGGTTGCCAGGCAACAAAACACACGCCCACAGCAGCTATATCGTCCGGGCAGTCAACTAGAGTTGTCGCATATTTTTACTTTTTTATGAAACATTTATAATACATTAAAATCTAATTAAGAGTAACAACTCATTAGAATTTGTTCTGTCCCATGCTAAAGTTTAGTATACAAAACTTAAGCTGTTCCAAGTCATAAAGATTCATTGAAAATCAATATACTTGTTCGTCTCAAGACCTTAAACTCTTTGTATCAATCTGAAGTCAATCTGATATTAACTTTAGCCTCTAGAGCGACCACAAGATTTTTCAACGTGATCAAGGGCCATAACTCTGGCAAACATTATCGGAAATCGCTGGAAATTAATAGGATTCTTCGTCTCAGGACCTTAAACACTGTGTATTCAATTTAAAGTCAATCTGATATTAACTTTGACCTCTAAAGCATCCACAAGATTTTTTGAAGTGATCAAGGGCCATAACTCTGGCAGTAATTATCGAAAATCAATAGCCTTCTTCGTCTCATGATCATAAACACTGTGTATTAATTTAAAGTCTATCAGATATTAACTTTAGCCTATAGAGTGTCCACAAGCAATTGTGGCCGCCGGATCGACGGACGGACGGGGGCGACAACAATATACGACCACATTTCAATGTGGGCATATAAAAACAAGGCCTGTTAATACCGGTACTATGATGCTATCTAGGGGTTATAAAAGAAGATGAACAATGTTTAAACATCATAAATGTATGATATTCTTATCCCGATCGCTTCAATGCTTCGCATTCATTCAGTATCTATCAAATAAACGAAGAGTCACTTATTCAGAAATATTATTGACATAAACTTAAAAGACGGTACATGAATTAAATATGAAAAATATGAAGCAATAGTGGCCTATATTTTGTTATCTGTTTCTAGTCATCATTAATATTAGCCTGTTCAAAAAAAGTATATGCTTTGGAGGCGGGGGGAGGGGTGGGGGTTATTGAAAGGCCTTCAATTTATGCATCACACTTTGTGAATTTCAGTTGCATTAAAGACGCTTTGCCTTTACATGTATTTATCAATTTGCACGGATAAATGAGGTCTTTGATTTTGGTGGTTGTAGCACGTTTTAAAGTTTGTTTTGTTTGTAAAAAAATAACACTTAGAATCTATGCTTTGAAAGATTAGTAAATTTAGTTCTTCAGCTAAACGGTGTGACTAGATCATCACCCGCATTAAGTTGCGTGCTACCACTAGGTCACCCCCACATTAAATCGTGTGATAAGACCAGGTCGTCCCAATATTAAATCGTGTTATGGGACCAGATCATCCCCACATTAAATAGTGTGATGGGACCAGGTTGTCCCAATATTAAATAGTGTGATTGAACCAGGTCATCCCAATATTAAATCGTGTGATGGGACCAAGTCATCTCCACATTAAATAGTGTGATGGGACCAGGTCATCCCCACATTAAATAGTGTGATTGGACCAGATCATCACCCGCATTAAGTTGCGTTCTACCACTAGGTCACCCCCACATTAAATCGTGTGATAGGACCAGGTCGTCCCAATATTAAATCGTGTGATGGGACCAGATCATCCCCACATTAAATAGTGTGATGGGACCAGGTCGTCCCAATATTAAATCGTGTGATGGGACCAGGTCATCCCAATATTAAATCGTGTGATGGGACCATGTCGCATTAAATCAAGTGCCCTAACCAGGTAACACTGCATTAAACTGTACTACCACAGGTCACCCCACATTAAATTGCGGGATGGGAATAGGTCGCACTAGGTAGCATTAAATCACGTGCCCTAACCAGGTAACACTGCATTAAACTGTACTACCACAGGTCACCCCACATTAAATTGTGGGATGGGACCAGGTCATCCGCACATTAAATCGTATGATATCCTATGTTGCAACCAGAGCGAGAGAGAGAGAGAGAGAGAGAGAGAGAGAGAGAAATGGGGTTTATCATCCACTCGACACAAACTAGGTCATTTCGGGACTAACATATGGTTTAATTTTATTTCAATAATTCGCTTGCGCGTAGGGGTCTTTAGCAGTGGGAGGAAACCAGAGGACCCGGAGAAAACCCCTGAGGTTGGACAGGCAACCCTACTCCTTGTCACGTACAATGGGGATTCGAAACCACGCCAGTAGACTCAATGACAGGCTTTATGATACAGCGTGCACATGCTAACCATTCAGCCATCCAACCCCCCTGCAACCGGAGCACCACCACATTAAATTGTGTACTGCAACCAGCTGACACCTACATAAAATCGTATGTTTTGACCAGTTGCCCCCACCATTAAATCCTGTGAGGCGACCAGCTCCCCCTACATTAAATCGTGTATTGCCACCAGATCCCCCCTGCCCCCCTTAAATCCGCCCCTGCAGACATCATATTTTCCTACATGTAAAACATTCTATGCATCAGTAGATCTTAATAAAACATACAAGATCATAATGACATGTTACAGTAATAATAACCTACTTTTTGTTCAATTAAGGCTGTTCACATTACAGACAATATACATAATATATAATTAACCATACTTTTTGTTCAAATACATGTATATACATGTACAGTACAGTGCTCGAGTTGTTTTAAGTTGCCCCAGCTAGGTAGGAAAGTAGATTTTACAAATGCCGTAAATAAAAAGACTTCCATGGCTATCAGAAAATAGAAATAAATGAAATGCTTCAAGAAAAAAATTTACTACAGAAAAACTTGATGGAACATTAGCTATTTCTTAGCGTGAATAATTTGAGTCCATTTCCTTGTGGAAAAGCATGGCGTAAG